ATTAATGCTTTTATAATCACAGTTTAAATAGCTGTGAACCAGCTTGTACAAAAAAATACAATCATAGCACCATATTTACAAATTTAGTACCATCTCCTGGTTAACTAGAGAGTCTTGAACTATCTTTTTATGGCTAATTAGGTTATATGGTAGTGCTTTCAAAAAATTGCCTGAATTTCTTTTACAAATATACACTTATAAAAAGAAACATTATCAAAACTGCTGTCATCTAAGGCAGCAACTTGTGTTACAAAAGTTATTAAAACATCATTATAGATTTAAAAAAGCTTCAAATTTACATTTTCCTTTTCATAGGCACTCTATAAACTAAAACGTGGCCTTGTTTTCACAGCTGTTAGTTTAAGCATTTAAACTAGTTAAATGTTACCAATGTTGCCCATTTTTTTTAGATATCAGCAAAAGGAAAAAAGAATCACCCATTAACCAGAAGCATCATTTACAGTTTTTACTTTTGCCTACTTTGTACACGTTTTGCTTAAAAGTGACACTGTTTTGATGTTGAGGTTTAGTGTATGTTATCCCGCTGCCTTCTTAGGGCTTAGTTCCTTCTTCCCTAGAATTCGGTGAAGGCTAGCTGACATGAAGTAGGGTTTTGCTGTAGATCCATCATTTCTTTCCAGGTCTTCACCTGAATTTACACAGCAAAAGCAGCCAAAAGAGAAAACAGCAGTACAACGAGAGAGAGAGAGAGAGAGATGAAGGGAAGAGAGTGCAAAAGATCCAACATTAAAAAAAAATCTGAATCAAGGCAATTTAGCTGTATTGTCAAGCTGATGAAGGACACTATAAAATTTCTATTTTCTCAAACCAGAAGAGATCTTACACAAAGCAGAGACACAAACATCTAGCCATTTCTAAATAACTGCAATATATCCTTTTGATTCTCCAGTTCTTTGGTTTGGCAGTATAGGTGGAAATTTTCAGAAACACTCATGCCTCCACCGAAGCCTGGTGGAGGCTACTTCTTGCTAGAAAAGTTGTTGTCCCAAAAAAGAGCTGTGGATTTAAGCACTTTTTAAAACTGGACCCTTTTTCACTGCCTAAGATAAAGGTCTTTTGAAAACCTGATGCCACGAGTGCACAATATTCTATACGACTTGCATTACTCAATGGAAGCATGGGAAGCAAACCAGAATATGAATTTAACATAATGAGGCAGATGTATTACTTTTTTTCCTACAGAAGGTCATGACTAAAACACTGGTCTGGGTTCAGGCCAGTGTTTATACCATGTGGTAGTCACAGAGCAGTGAACAATTTCACATCAATGGGCAATCTGGAGGGACCGTGCAGTGAAGCTCGGTCATTGCAACTGCAACCCTGCAGAAAGAGACAGCTGTATCTGCTAAGCTAAAAAGAGAGCTCTAGTTGTAAGGAATGGCCAAGAGGTTAGAGCAAGCAAATCTTCATCTGTCTCCATGGCAGTTCATACTGTGTGTCTTTGGAATAAATTAAAATCTGGTAATTTTCTAGTGTACCAACCAACTTTCTAAATTTTATTAGTTTGATCAATTTCCATTTAATTCTAAATAATAGTATGTATTTATTTATTTACTTACTTATTTATGGGTTAGCTTATTTCTTGGAGTGTCATTAGTGCTATGTCTGCTTGTGATAAAATTTGTTTAGAACCAAAGTCTGTAACTTGAGATAAACACGATGTAGATCTCAACTAGATGTCAATTTTCAGTTTTCTGACTGATTTTGTTCCTTTGATTCTTTGGCCACCCATTTCCAGAACCACTGCTAACCTTAGTTCCTAGGGAAGCACTTAAAAAGGTGAGTGTCTAAAGGAAAGAAAGAATTTATGCTATTCTAAGAGGAGAATCAGTATTATCATGTTATTCTTGCCTCAGTGTGCATATGATAGATCAAGCCTATGACTATTTCAGTGTTCCCTTACTATTGTCAAATATTTCATCAGCTGCATGAACAAACACTGCCATGTAACTCTACCTGGACTTAACAGAATGACTTTCATTATAGAAAAACTGTAACTTTATTTCTTTAATTCAGTAAATCTAGGAAATGGAATGTATTTTGTAATAAGTACATCCTCTTATAATTGTGTCCTAATTTGAGACCAACAGATTTCTTTTGTGATTTTGGTATTCTCTGACTGGACACATTGAACAGCAGTCCCTTTGAGAGTTCCCATGATTGCTTGCCATTGGGGGGTCCAAGGGACATACAGTTTTTTAAATCATATTTCACACAAATTTGAAGGTAATTCAGCAAAATACTTTGTTCAGGGCTTTTAAGTTGAAAACAAAGGACCAGCTGTATGCAAAAGAATTACTTTGTTATTAACAAGAGGTTTGAATGAATCATTGCTGTACAGGGCTCTTTACTAAGCACCCAGAAGTAAACTGTTAATGAAAATTAAGGAACATCTGAAAAACAAAAGCTAGATATCCCCCCATGAACCATATAGCTACCTTCCGTTATTTAAACTAATTAAATTAGAATACTAAAATACTTCTGCACTGAGGAATGCATCAAGGAGCCAATCTGAAAAGCAGAAGCAGTTCATTTTTCACACAGTCTGCTAGCATGTCACCAGAATTCTGTAGGGATCAGATAAGGTGGTTTTCTATTCCTCTTCCCGTGACTTGCAGGTATTAGTGAAAGAAAATGTAGTACTTACAAAAGCAGAGGAAAAGCGTGTCGACGCACATTGCATAGACGCTGAAGAACCCGTGTGCAACTAGGTAGGAGCCAATAATGACTGTCTACAAAAAACAAACCACAAAAAAACCCCAAATTTAGTTTGGCACAAATGTGTCAGTGTTAACACAAGTCAGAAGCCTAGTCTGCTAAGCACATTTGGGAGGATTTAACAGCACCTCTGTAATTCTACCAAAGTTTACCACTGCTGTGGAAAGGGATCATGGGCTCAAGACAATGAATCCTAAAACATGCAGTAGATATTAGTTTTCCACCTGCCAAAATGGAGCCATCTCAACCCCCAAAGAGAATATATGCCAAGAATATTCTGAACTCCTTCAAGATTATTCTAAAGAACCACTCATCCTGGAGATGTTCTGGAGTCTAGCGGGGGCTACGAAAGGAGGAAGAGATGCATCACAAGTCCCTTCCATTAGAAGCTACACTGTCATCAGTGCCTCACCACCAGCCTTTGCTGTCTGGGAAGTCTGAGCAAAGCGGACGTGAAACCTACTTTTTCTGAAGGTGCAGAGTTACTGCAGTGCCACTTCTGCCTGAAGGATCCAGAGGACTAGAGTGCAGCAGATTAGTCCTCACTTCAGTGGATAGTATGCCACTGAGAGGATGACAACAGGAACTGTTACCAGACTATGCCCTGAGTAGTCTGAACACCTCAAACTGCCCTCAGCGTTCAGGAGATTAGATGGTTGCCTTACCAACAATGGTACCCAGTAGTAATTTAATGTTGGTGCTTCCTGTGCAAAGACTGGTATTCTCTGTGTGAAGAAAAAGAACGCAAGAACACCTGCAAGAAGCACAGAATATTAGTGATTCCTGTGCTAACTTTGATTTCCTAACACCTAAAGAATGGATGAGACAAAACAGACAACAGATCTGAGGTTGGTTTAAATAAGAGCTTGTAAACAATAAATTTCTCAATACTAATTATCTGCTGGATCTGTATTCTGACAGAAGAGATATGTAAATTAATCATTTACCATAAAGATATTCATGTGCCCAGAAAGACCTTAATGAATTGTTTTGTTTCATCATTCTGCTGGATTTAATAGCAAAATTAATAAATAATGATAAACAAGACAATGACACAGGAGAACAAAGACCATTGGGTGGACCTTTTCTAAAATAAAAGAAGAGAGAGCAAAATTCTGCTGTTTTAAATTGTATTGCTTGAAGAAATACTTAAGTATTTCAGATTGAAAGGAGAAATAACAGTGCTAGTAATAAGCACGACAATAAGTTTAGAACAGACCAATGCATCTACAGCAGAAATGGCCCGAAGAATTTATTCTCAAAGAGGATGAAGACATGAATTAATTTCAGTATTTCATGGCTTACATTTCAGAGAATATGTTTCAAATCAAATTTGCTACCCCAGTTTGAAAGTCATTCTACAGTAATGACATTTTAGATCTGTTCTTGGTACTAAATTTCAACTGTTGATTAAAATGTAATTCATCAGTAATCTTTTAAAGTACACAGAATACAAAATACAGTTATTTGTAAAATAATGTTTTGAAACTGCTGTGACACTTTAGAAAAACCATAAGGGAATACTGTCAACTTTAATTTCTGAAAGTTCTCAATTTAAAAAAAAAATCACTTTTCTGGCACAGAAAAATATGAATAATATCTTTGGATATTTACTGATAACTAAGAAAACCCTATGAGGATGTTAGAAATATCTATTTTTTTTACTGTAGCTTATAGCTATAATGGGCTTGAATACAGCAGAACTTCAGGCCCATCTCCTGCAGACCTGCACCACCTCCTCTTGTATGCATGCTGTCTGCTGCTAGGTGAATCTCATTTGCACTTTTACTCAGTTCTTATAAAGGGAGAACCATTGTGGCTGACTTATTGGATGTGAATTTGGTTTGATCCAGCCTTGATGCCTTAGCTGCAGAAGTCCTTGTGCCAGCAACACATGCAAGAGCAATAAAAGCAATTATGGAAAAGATGCTGTAAACAAAACACTGGGGGGGGGGGAGGGAGAGGAAGGAAAAAAAGAAAAAAATATATTTAAGTTCAATCTTGCAAATCCTAGAAACACAGGAACAGCTTCCCAAATAGTCAGACCAATGAGAACCTCCAGCTGTTAACTAAGCGTATATGAATATGGCAGGCATACTTGCAGGTACCAGAAAATAGAACATAGCATCTGGAAAAAAAATCTATTAGCTTACCTACACCACCAGCAACAAGAATTTTCCCCAGGAATAAAAGAAAGTCTGTAACTTTGTCCAGAACTGCAACCCTGTTCAGCAAAGGACAAATGATACATAATCATCACAAACCAAATATCTGTATTCTTTCTCCTTAAATCTATGGATTATTGAAAAAACATGACCAAGAAGCTGTCTTCTGCTGGATTCACAGGCTGACAATACAACAATGCAGAAACACAACACTGAGATGGGCTCTGTTACAGCCTAATCCCATGAGGCAAAAAAGCACTGAGTCTCTTGTTGAGTTAGGCCTCAATGCAGCTACATTACAATACTGCTACAGCACTTGAAGACTGTTTATTGCTCTTGCTGGTTAAAAAACCAAAACAAATCAAAACATCAAAATATTTTTATTTCAGCCTTTCTACTAGCGTCACAGATAAGCCCACTCAGAAGAGGCAAAGTACACACCAAAAGGAAAAGCAATGTTTGTGTAGATTGCTGATAAGTCTTCTTTTCACTTGGTCCTATCTGGCCACATTTCATGACCCCATAACATGCCAAATCTACTATTTTAAGATATCATGGTACAACACTGAAGGCAGGAAGCCTCAAAGCAGGGAGACAATCACAGATGAATGAAGGCAGACAGAAAAATTGACAGCAAATCTGCAACCCTCATTGAAAGCAACAGCAGGGAGTTTCTGCTCGAAATCCTGCCAGCCTGTCTTATCAGAAACTGCGGGTAAATAAGGGGATGGAAAATGAGCTTTGTATCATCAGCCTCTTGACAGCACTGAAGGCTACGGATATGGTAATAAACACCACTGACTAGATAAACCTTAAGAAATCTTGAAGAGAACAATCATCATTAACTTGTTAGAATTCAGAATTAGCAAAATACACAAGGTAAAAAAAATCTCAATTTGAAACAGCAAAATGATATGTCTGGCTTTTAGCTATTGCTCTTACTGATTAAGAGCAAAAGCACAAAGGACAGTGAGGTGATGTTCTGAAAGGAAATGAAGACAGTTTCTCTTTGTACAGGCACTGCACGATGTGGACACCACTGTACCGATATTAGTGCAGGGTAGCAGAGTGAGTGCACTCCGTTCTCCCATCTCCAATCCTTTCCTCTTCTTTCTTAAGCATAATTTCCATTTTCCTGTCTTTCAGCCTCCCTCTCCATTCCTCTCCTCCTCCCAGTCCTTCATGTAATAATTTAAACCACCTAACCAGTTTTACTGTGTCTCTTGCTTGGCAATTAGATTGCCTGCTATTGCATCAACATGGCCTGCTCCTAAGTTATTCTCCCATTATTTTTTGATCTCACAGTAGTACAGGAAGAGCCAGGAGCAATGAAGAAAAGCACTGATGAGAACAGGGAGTTTGGCAGGAGTCTTGGTAGTGGGGAAAAGGGCCAGGGGAGTTCCCAGCACCAAGGGAGATCTGGATATGTTAAAGATACTGGATTTGAAAGTGAAGTACTCTCTTTTCTTTACTGCCACCCTCTGACACCTCATAAGCTTCCTGGATGAGTCTGAAGACTTAGGTCTTTTTGCTTTCCTTTTCACAGATGGTGAGTGGACCAAAGCTCAAGAAACACACATCCAGCAGATGATGAGCACCCCATTCCTGTATATCTGTAGATCTCCTCTCAGGGGCTCCATTGGTTCCTTGGAGGCACTACTACAATCTACCGGGTGCTCATAAATTTAAAAGAGCAATCACAACAAAACTGTTAAATTCTATCTATCTACTTTGCATAGGTGCTGGACAGCCTGCTGTTACACACTGAGCATTAGAAGTGAGGGCCATGTCTGAAGACAGAAGCAGCTTACAATAATATTTGGAGGAGACATAGGAGAGGAAAGCAGTGTGTCTTTAGAGTGCAATAGCAGGAAATTCAGACATTTCCAAGGACTGGGAGACGGCCCCTTACCTCACCACATTCCGCATGAGCAAAAAGAATGCTTCCTTTGCTGAGGTACAGAAGTTTTTACCATATATGGCAATCTGAAAAATAATAGTAGCTGTTAAGAATTTTAATAATTAGGACACTTCCTTGTACGCCAGAATCTTACTGTGTGTAACGCATAGTTCTCTCTAATATTAGGCCTTGAAACTCAGATAAACATAAAGCACTTCCCCCAGTCACCTGTTACCTCTCAATGCTTCGCACCAGGTTGGGACAGAATATTATCCATCCTTCCCCTCCAAATCACCTGATGATGAGCATGCCACCCCTTGTGATCTTGCAGGCCGCAGACTCAGTACTTCGTTTGCCAAGTAGAGCAGATAAGGTACTTGCTGAGGGATTCTTCTCACTGCTAGTTACCTACACTAAATTTATAGTCAGAGGAAAGGAACAGGCACCTGCAGAGCAGAAATGAGTTGACCCCCTGTAGGTATCTCCTTGGACCTGATGCTGCTCTCACTTAAGAAATCAGCAATACCAGTATCAAAGACAGTGCATTTACATCAGCATAAAGTAAAGCAGCTAGAGTTACTCAGGAACAAAACCATTTCTTCTTCCTGGAATAGTGTCCACAGGGGTAAGATATGCTAGAACAGCTCTTAGTGCAGTCAATTTACCAACTGTAAACAAGATAGTCAAAAAGAATACTTCCTCTTCAAGATAGCGTTAATTTGAAACATCAATTGCATGAACAAGGGTTATAACAGACCCATTACAGCCACTTCCTTTAAGCTAACAAGTCTGTGACTGTACCATTCAATCATTAAAATTGCTTCAAGTCAGAGCATCCTAGGCTGAAGTTTGTGCATGTTTATTTAGGTGAAAATCTGGAATTTCTCTTCTGGAAGCTAAGGTGGTTGTTTTGAGTAATATCACTGGTGCTGCTAGTAGAATTTGTGCTTTTACGTTCCAGGAGGAAATACAGATACTACATGCCTTCTGGCCTCCTTATTCAAACACTGCCTCCAAACAGAAGCATCATCAACATGCAATATGAAACAAGCTAATATACCTGTTGAAATTAGGATTTAACTTGCTGAATCGGAGGGTGAGTTAACCAGTTATGCCATCCCTTCCCACTTACTTTGGGGGGTCAGTGGGATGGACAAGGACGGGCATGAAAAGAGACTGAGTTTAGAAGAAGAAAAAAAGAGTTCTCCCTTTTTCATGGTAGGACCACATGCATTTCCTGAAAACTCCCATAAATCCCATTATTTATTCAGCAGATTCTAGTACTGCTGGCTGTTGACCAACTAGAAGTCACTAGGGTATTTTAGTGTCCCAGATAGTGGAGACCACATGCAGAGACAGCACATACCATGATGTAGGCATTTCTGTTTATAAATTTTAAGAATTTTTCCAAACACCAGAAACAGCATTTGAGGCAGCAGAGTAGAAATCTAGTGAAGGCGTTCTGTGTACCTGAAAAAAAGGACAGAGTACCTCATACATAGAACTCACAAACAGTCTTCAGAACACAGAAAGCTATTCAAAAGAAAATCTTAAATTGTGGCAAAAGCAGAAACATAATTTCTTTTCTTCTAGGTATAGACTCTCCTTCTCAACCAAATTTAGTTCACTAGTTTTCAATTAGATCAGATCCAGATCCTGCATGAACTTTGCATTAAGTTCCCAAGGACACAGACTCAATTTAAGTACATCAGCACAAATTGGCTGGCTTCAAATGGAACTACAATGGCTCAAAATAATGTGGAATTAATCCCTCTTCATTGCTGAAAAAACATCTTGGGAGAGTAAGAAAGTAATTTACTAAAGGAGGTTTTAATAGAGGAGATTCATAAATCTCACCTTTCAGTTTGTGATCCAAGTACTCCAGTATTACTCTAATAAGCTGGACAATTGCAAGAATTAAGGCTCCAAATGCCAGCGAACCTGTATGGTATCTAAAACAAAATAAATTACTGTTATGTTGCATATATGTGTATATGTACAATTATATATGTATGTGCATGTGTGTGTATATATATATAAATAAAATCAAAATTGTAGGACGGTCCATTAGTGGGAATTACATGTACTAATGGACCTTCATCCCGATCCATCAGACAGAGGAACAGGCTGAAGCCACTGGTGCTGTTGGTATTTGTGAGTGCTTTGTCTGTCTGTCTGCTGATCTGTGTGGCCAGCTGTGTATATATGCATTGTATACATGTGTACCTACTGGGAATACCTGCTCAGCCTTGTAATTGGTTGGACCTGGGGGCATGGAGCTGTAGCAACCTTGCCACTATCAGGCTACAGGATTCAGCCTCCTCCTAACAACTACATTTTCCTGATTGTACTGGGTTTGGATGGAATAGAGATAGTTTTCTTCATAGCAGCTTGTATGGTGCGGCTTGGATTTGTGATGAAAACAGCACTGATAACACAATGATGTTTTACCTACTGCTGAGCAGCATCAAAGCCTTTTCTGCTCCTCACTCTGCCCCACCAGCAAGCAGGCTGGGGGTGCACAAGAAGCTGGGAGGGGACACAGCTGGGACAGCTGACCCCAACTGACCAAAGGGATATCCCACACTCACTATATGATGTCATGCTCAGCTATAACAGCTGGGGGGAAGGAGGAGGAAGAGGTGGATGTTTGGAATTATGGAGTTTGTCTTCCCAAATCACCATTACACATGATGAAGCCCTGCTGTCCTGGGGATGGCTGAACACCTGCCTGCCAATGGGAAGTAGTGAATGAATTCCTTGTTTTGCTTTGCTTGTGCACACAGCTTTGCTTTACCTATTAAACTGCCTTTATCTCAGCCCACGCGTTTTCTCACTTTTAGCCTTCCGATTCTCTCCCCCATCTCACTGTGGGGGAGTGAGCGAGCAGCTGGGTGGGGCCTTGGCTGCCTGCCGGGATTAAACCACAATGGTGACTAATCATTTTCATTTGATATTCTAAGTCTGGCTTCCCTAGATGCAAAAAGAGCACTTGTTGGATACATGACAAGGCTCACATCCAGCTTCACCATCTTACCGTATTGCTCGTCCAAATGAAGAGAAGAGTGGCCACAGTGGAATATCAGCTGGTTTTCGAGAGGCCCAGTAATAAGAGGCAAAGGCACCAGCAAGGGTACACTGACCCAGTGCAATTGCAAAGTTCACCAGCCAGAGAAAGACAAAGGCATTGGCTAACTGGAAGATGAAGATGTACTTATGGTACAGGCTTTCTCCTCCATAAAAAGCAAAAGTACACTGAGCACCTGGACACACTTTAGTCACATTGGTTGTGTTAAAAGTCTGTATAGAAAGAAAAATAAACACCACAATGATAAGAAATGAATTCTGTGTACACAGTCTCCGAAGTTTAGCAGCTTAATACAAACAACATAATTCTGCTTGATGTTTCATTAGCTTATTCAACACTGCACTCCAATACTATGTAACCTGTTTACATATTTAAGGATTCATATTAATGTCTTATGCAGGTGCTTAACTTTAAACTGCAGTTAGCAAGCAGGGCTGTTCACCACATGCCTGAAACCTACATAAATGGAATTTGAATTTCAGAAATCTACTTTTAAGATACATAAATGCTTCAGTTTCATTAAAGAAAATCTGCTCACATAAAAAAAAATAAATTTGAAAACCAGAGGCCGAATCTTCAGTTTGGGTAAATCACCACAGGCGAATTGAAATCAGCTGAGCTATGCCATTTTATACAAGCTGTGGGTGAGGTCACAGTTACCCTTAGCTATCTCAAGAGTATTAAAACAGGAATAGTCTTTACATTTAATTACTTTTCCCTATTTCTACTGTTCATTTCATGTATTTGCTCAGTTTGGGCATGAAATAAAACCAGTCCATTTCTAATCCCTTTCTTCTTCAGTGTTCACACATCAGCAGGGTGGGCAATTGTTTGGGATATATATAATCACAGCAGTACATTGACATTTAAACACCTGAAAATAACCCTGATATAACATTTGATACGTATTTCTAGTTTTCAAAAAATACTTAAATTCAACTCCACAATCAAGTCAAAACATTTGACTGATGACAAAACAACAAAAAAGGAAAATATTTCTGGAGCTTCATAAAGGTCATTGCTGTGCCAAAAGAACCCCAATATTTTAGCTAAGCCTCTGCTTCAAAACATGGCTGGTCCTCGGGCAAGTTTGAGGCACAGCTTTCAAAGTCTTCCATTGCCTTTTGAGGACCACAAAATAGAATCCTCGTGAATTCAAGAACACCTTTCCAAATAAACCTGTATTTCTGTGTCTTCCTTTTCACCCTGTAAATTAGAACCTCACCAGGCAGTATAGCAGAAAAGTTAGTTTATGTCTGTAAATTGCTTTGAACAAAGGAAGTGTTATCTGAACACTAAGTACTATTTTCAGATTTAAAAAGAGGAATCATTACTTAAAATATGCACATTTTCTACTAGCATTGCAATTATCAGTGATTAAGAAATTCAATTAGTATAGCTCTTACTGTAGGTAAATATTTGTTACACTTACCTCTGGGTCACAAGTCAGGTTTGCATACTTGCACAGTGTTTGATTAGCCATTATTTTATACACAGGTTCTCCTGATGTAGCCAGAAAACTGAACAAAATATTTTAAGGAGGAATCACAGACCTGCAGGCTTTTAGCAGCTTAGGGTTCTGAAGTGGGTAACCACTACCTCTAAAGAACTTGTGCAGGTAACAGAAAAACTGCTCTTGCTATGCAGAGAAGTATATGAAGGGTTGATAGACAAGACTGAATACTCTCATTACTTAGAGAACTAAGGTAAACTCCATCCCAGAGCTGTAATAACCCCTGACCAGAATGGGCAAGGGGAATAACCTTGAAAGTTGACTCAGTCTGTCCTGCACATCTACCTTTGACAAAGCAGATTATGCAGTAGTTCTTTGACAGCTCATATTTTGGTGGAAATAGACACAGAGTGTAAGGATAAATTAACATTGTCCTGAACAGCAATAACTGGCCCTCTTTGCATGTGAAAGAGCGATTTGTTTTCAAAACGTAATTTTCCCCTTTCTGATACCTTGCCAAACCCTTGCTGTTCTGGGAACAAACAGACAGTGGTTGCTGTTATGCAATTTAAAGAGGACTTGGTGTATGTTCTTTCATTCCTTTTCTACAATTTTCTGAACCAAACATCCCTGGAGCCCACCCCACCCCCAGCTAACTGAGAGACCATTAACATCAGGCCTATAGAGCATGCAGCACATTAAAGGCAATATTCACCCTTTGTTGAGGGCCCTTTTGTACCCCTTAGAGTCAACCTCGTATAGTACACAAGGCCTTATGTGATCTCCTTGCCTTGCCATGAATTTTAGTCCAGTTGTTTTTAATGAAATTAAATTCACTGTCCGATTTGCACATCCCATGCAAATGTGCAGTGAGGAAGAGTGCATCAGTGCAGCAAATGCTAAGTGACCAAATAGCCCTCTTAACGCTGGTTTGGTTAAGGTGAAATAGCAGAGAATTATCGGGTCTTGCAGACCAGAACACTGTTCCTCCAGAGAAGTACACAGACAGAAGGATACACAGCTGTCACAGCCCAGTAGGAAATACAAATTGCAATGAGTGTGAAGGTGACGATTGGGTAGAACAACGTAGACATTATATAGCCAATAGCCCTATGAAAGAAACAAAACATATCAGTAAGATACAACAATCTAAGAAACAAGCTCTTTATCAGTCCTCTTCTGGCACCGTCCTTTTTACTTTGAGCTACTTGTTGATAGTGGTAGCATAATCTAGTGCTAGGATCTCAGAATACTGCATGTTCTTTCTTCAAATGTCTTCACATCTTCACTTTGTCATTTCTACCACTCAACTTTATCCATTTGCCACAAATGAGTGGTGCTTGCCTTCGGCTGTTGGCAGGCAGAAAGAATAATGGCCTTTCACTGTTGACAGCTTAGAGAGCTCCTTTTAACACCAAGGCTGATGTTTTAGAGGCTGACTTTCTACTAATACTTCTTGTGGCTAGAATGCGACTAGCGAGCATGCCAGTTCCTACTCTGCCAGGGACTCCTCCTCTGGAAGAGGGTGAGTTGGCGATGGCCCCTCTGGGTAAATTGGCTGCAGCTATCGCAGAGGCGAACACCTCCAGCTGGGTATCTCACTGGATGTGGTTTTAGAGAGCATGTGTTTTGTTCACTGAAGCTTACAGGTTGGTTCTCCTTACACTCCTGTCATCTACCTCTTCCCGTTACTCTAAATTTTCTTTCCAGTGACCCTGTGAGCTTATCATAAGCCTTTTTGTCTCTTACCATTTCCTATAGTATTTCTCCTATGTCTTGTGGCACTTCTGATGCTATTTGGTTTTATAGGAGGCGGTTTCCAGAATGTAAGAGGAGACAAATTTACTCAGTTCCTGCTGCTAAACGAGTAAATGTTGGGGGGAATGCAAGGGAACTGTCATGTGCAATCAAGAGGTTAAGAGTAACGCATCAATTTGTGTTTGAGTATAGAGATGTAAAAGTCCATTAATAAATAAATAATAAAAAATAAAAGCCCTCCAGACACAGGAGGACACAGTCTTGCACTGTCTGAGAAAAATCACTACATATTAGCAGTGTTCAGCAGTTAATGGTAGGTCTCTTAGTTACCAATAAGACCATGGACAGTTACTCCAACAAACGGAGTAACAGCTGTTAATTGTTTCGACTATGGATTTAAAATAAATTATTAGTATTGTAATTGTAATATTTTTGAAAGAGTAGTTAAAAGGTATTGAAAAATGTGATTTGATTTCCAGTTATTAGCAGCTTATTTTTCAACTCCCTGGATACAGGGCATGGTCTGTTAGGTTTGCAGTAATTACACACAGTGTTTCACTTCATGAATTATGCATGAGAGTAAAAACATCACCCTCAAGTGACCTTTCCATGCTGCTGAAAAACTGCAGAGTTTATGAATTTTCTGAAATCCTTCTACCTGTCAAGGTTGTGAACGAAAGTGTTGCATAGTGTTAAAAAAAGTGTTCCTGTGCTGCCAAAATTAATTGCTATGCTCTAATTGCACAGTAGTGTAAAACAGGAAACAGGTACCTCGCTGAATGGAGAACTTCAGTCTTTCTTAATCCCATTACAAAAACCCCCAAATCCTGATTCCTGAGAACCACAATGTCAACGGAGATGGCAGAAAACTACAAGCAAGTGCACACGGATAAACTCAGAGCTATTATGTGCTCTAACAACAGAACTCTACTTCCAAGGCCTATGAGACCTTAGCCTATCTGCAATGAAATCCAAGGGCCTGATGTTTTAAGTCCATTTATCCTTTGTTATATCCGCATTTATAAAAATAAAAAAAAAAAAAAAAGAGTTGGCATTGTGAACAACTGTGAACAAAGTCTGTGCAGATTTCAGATAACACAAAATGAAGAGGTCTCCTAGGCCTTCAACTCTCATATCCTGCTCTGCTTTCTTCTTTACTCAGAGCTGAAAAGAAGTATTTTGGACTGCACCATATTACAATGCCTGGTCATGGAAGTCTCCTTTTCTCTCTGCAGATTTATGCATGTCCGCACAGAAGTTTGACTGGAGCAAGAAGAATCCAGTCTCCCTAAATAAAAGCCACAGCCAAAACAACACCTATCCTCTACCACTAGTATGTCACTCTGGAGACAATCCAATGACAGAGCAAAGCTGGCAGCTATAGGTCCCAGGCTCCTATTAACAGTGTACCCCACTTAGCATTTCTGCTGATACACCTTCTTGCACTGAGGATACTTGGTACCACTAACAGTATATGTACTCTTAAGGCAGAGTGCTGAGAGCTAAGAAACGTCTTACTGCAAAAGAGAAAGCTCTTATAAGCACAACCTCATTAACAGAGAACTAGCATTCCTTATACTACCTGTTTGGCTCAACTAATCCAGTGTTGTACTTTAATCCTTAACTTTCTGCCCTCAGTAGTGCAAGATGAAGCTCAAGAAGAGTGTATCCTAGAGGTCATTTAATAAAATTAAAAATATATTAAAATCAGACAAACTTACCTACTGCCTTCCTTCAACAGTGCAATAGCAATTCGGATCCGATTCCTTAGGAAGATCAGCATCAGTATGATTATGACCTCAACAACACAAAGTAGTATCACTGTAAAAAACAAGCAAAAAAAGTTAGATTTATCAAGAAACAAACCAATATGCTGCCTCTGTAATTTGGGGGGTTTTGCCTTGTATTTTACATGACTGTTCATGAACTCCATAAAATTCTCTGCTAGAGCAGTTCTCTCTTTCTCTCACTGCACCTGCCAATCTTCAATCCCATTTTGAAAGTTTTGTAAGTTCCAGTGTAGGGCAATTCTACATGCAGAGAGTTAGTCAGAATGTGTAGGACATGACATTAGTATTTATAATTTTAGAAGAAAAATGGAACATACTATTCTCAGACAAAGATAATAATTTACTTTAATGTGGCTGTAGTATTTGGTCTTAGATACGGTCCACCCTTAACAAATTCTACTTTTCATAAACAAGCATTTTACATGTTTATACTCTAATGCTGCTAATTTGCAATACTTAGATACAATAAAAAAATGAAAAGGAGATGAAGAGTCAACTTTTTAATGAAAAGTGCATTTTTCTGATATATATTATTCTAACATTTATATGTACTTAAATCAATAGGTGGGTTTGAGTATTAACCTGGCATGAGCTCCTTTCACCTCATTTGAGTAAAAAAAAAAAAAAAAGAAGAGGCTAAGATAGGACAGTTTTGGACAAATTATTTTCACCTTCCAGTTGTGCTGCTCGAATCATACAAACTTGCTCTGAGGTCAGAGAGCTGAGAGCACCATGTCCCAGAACATTTCCTCTCTTAGTTACGAGCAGTGTTTGAATCATAACCCAGATCTGATTTCTATTTGTGTCAGTTCAAAACCTAGTTCTGCAGTAGAAAGTAAAAAAATTCTCTGGGCTTCATCTAGAGAAGACAGAGTCTTTAAAGCATGAAGCACATCTGACTCTGAGATATATCCATTAATTCTGCATGCTTCAATGTCAGATAACATTTAAAGCAGCCCAGCAGCTGTGGATGGTTGCACACAGCAGGACCGGTCTCCTCCAGCTGAAACCAAGAAGTTTTGTGGAGGGAAAGGAGGTCAGAAGGGATAGTATCCATAAGCCTTGGTTTGTGTGGAGGTTTGCAAAGGGACATAGGAAGTTGCTTCAGGTCCCACAGCTTAGACATAGTCTCAGAATCCAGAATGAGATAGTCACAGATGATGTTAAATTGCGATCCCAAGTATTATCAGTACCCCTAGCCATCAGAACTGCAGGTGGCAAGTGACCGTTGTGGTGCTCAGAGCCACAGACTTTGTTCAGAACAAAGTTTTTGTTACATGCATTTCAGCACCTATCTTTGATATGGTTCCACATGAAGGAATACATAATCAGGTTTCTTTAAAGTTGGTCTCATTCCAGTACATGATGTGTTCTAGACTAGCACTAAGAGGACCTATGTTTTCTTCAAGGATGTTTAACTGCTTTGTTGGGTGACTTTGGAAAAGTAATTTAATTCCACAATACCTCCATTTACTCATCTGAAAGTGACACTGACCTCTAGATAAACTAGACATTGGCTGCTAAGAATCAGGCAGTAGAAGAGCTTGGAGGGTTACAAGGAAAAACATAAGGATGTCCTAATATTCTCTAGGCATAGCACAGTAAAAAGCTCTGCCTCAACAATATATAGAAGATGCCTCATGAACTCAATGATCCAACATAGAGGTAAATGAAGACACAAAGCAGAAAAATGAGATCTAAGCAGTAAACTACTGCTCTATTAATTTAGCTTCCAATAGGGAGAGGCAGTGTTTGAGGTTATGTCCCATTCATCATCAGTTAGTGTCTGTGAGCCTTCTAATAGAGCAGTGCAAGTAATATTTGGCAGGTATTTGTTCTCTCTTCCACCCCTCCTTCCCTGGGGAGGGATGTGTATGCTGCAGGCTGTCTTGTTCCAGCAGGATTTTGTTTTTAATACACTGTCCTTGTAAAAGAAGGCAATGGAACACTTTTGAAAATAAAGGTGATGACATTTGCAATGCTTCATTCCGCACTCAGATCAGCCTCCAAGAAAATTCAGTGACCTGAATGTAAACAGTTCTATAAAGATGTGTAGAGTTGTTCATCTCATTTCTGGGTCCCTCAAAGAGGGAGAATAAATAGATTGGGAGAGAAAAACGCCCCTCCTTATGCAACTTCATCAGGACTTAGCTATTGCTTTCTATTTCCCCCTTATGAAGACTGAACAGACAAGAAGTGGAAGTGGAATGCTCATAACACAAGCATTTTTCACTCTTATCACCAGTGCAATTGCATTATCTCCTCTTACAAATATACTAGTCTCCTTGCAAAAAAGTAGATTTTTGCACAATGCAAAGAAAGAGAATTCTGCTTACTTCTCTGAGCAACACATGTAGAGGAGGAGATTTAACAAGGCAGAAACTGTAGCAAGACAGTGGTTGATTCTTCTGAATATCCATTAACAGATACCAAGTTTAAAGGACACTTACTAAATGCTAACCATGTTTGCCTCAGTTGCAGGTACACTCTGAAGTCTGTCTGGAATCCAATATCGTAAACAGTGAGGTCAGACCCAGGTATTCCTTTAAGATGATCATACTCCCAGTAACAATGCCAGATGCCTTTAAAAAACCAATCAATATAAAATGAGTGTTTCTGAAGAGTACAAAGACAAGTTTTTTGAAAAAATCTTTTACAAGCCAAGTGTTTTATCTTCAGTGTGTCAAGTAAGCAAAACCAAAAAATGCATTACTGTTAGACTAGTCAATTATAACATCACATATATAGAAAAGATGTATCAGTATAAGTGAATACAGACTAAGCATACTATGGGTAGATAATTCAGATTACTACATCTGGTGCTAAGTATCAGCACAGCTGGATTCTTACTAAATTTCACTGCCATTTAAGCCCTTCTCATTTAATTCTCCCAATTGTACCATTTAATTGATGTAACTACTGATTTTCCTTGCCCAAACTTAAGCAATAAGGAAAAATAGCCCCAGAGGCTAGAAGGTTTATACCTACCATATCCTATAATTCCAATCACACCAAAGATGAAAATCCAGAAGAGGACCCCAGCCATGAACCTCAGTAACACAAGGAAGAGCAGACTCACAATCATTGCAATGAACAGCCCACTAGAAAGACAAGAAACAGAAACACAGGGAAAAACAATTGTGAGAATCTTCACTTTCTTGCATGCCTGTCACTCCAAATGAGGCTCACTTCATCTCACATAAGAGAATGATTTGTAAAAATGTATTTCAAAATCTTCCTTATGAAATACATCCTCATGGCTATTATGTGCTATTAGAAACAAATACCTTATATATGATGACCTCACAGGGCAGAGCCAGAAATGTTTATATATACCAGGTTCTCAGGCTGGCTGAATGTGAGTAGTACAACACCTTTTTGGTCATTTATACCAGCTGAACAACTCAGTGCTTTTTTTCAGGCCACAGTCTAGTCTACAGTACAGGAAGTTAAATTGGAGGAATACCTATGTGTGGGGAGGTTGCTGGTTTACATCCTCCATTAAAAATCCCTACTTGCAAAGCAATAACATAGTAAAGTAACACTGTAGGAGCTTTCCTAAAAATAAAAAGAAATCAATTTAGGAGAAAAAGTAGTGACTCTTTCTACCCATCAGAAAAGGAGATAATCAGGGCATTGTGATGCACAAAAAGAAACTATAGTTACGATAGTTACGAGCTACCAATGGGGCTACTAGAAAAAACATCTACAGAATGTCTTCTTTTTATCAAGTCTGTGGTAGGGAAATATTTGGGTTTTTTTCACTCCCAGAAAGCAAGTTGGAAAGGAAAAAATAACTGCAAAAGGCCTTTTTACTCAGCGAGGCCTTCTAAAGCCATGTGAATAAAGCAATGTGAATAATAATCCCATCCAACAAACATCCAGCTCAGATGCTTCACAGAACATTTAATTTCTAGAATTTTTAGTAGGTGTTACATCAGAATTTTGTGTTAGTACAGACTCAAAAAAATTAAAACCTCTTCCTGCCTGTGTTCAGTAACTTCTCTTCTGAACATTTCCAGCTTATTTAGCCAGTTACCAAAGATAAAAAATGGGTCAGCCTGATCATAAACAATCAAAACCAGATGTTTTGGGCAAACTAAGCCAGATGGGCAGAGGAACAAGAAAAAGAACATCAGCTTATTTTGTTAAACCTTTGTAAGCTGGTCTTAAGTCCTAGCCCTTTAAAGGCTTGCTAGCATGATTATTTTCCCTTTCTGAATGGCTTGTCTGAAATTCAGAATGTATTCCTCAAAAAAAGTAGTAGTTTTGGAGCTTATGACTCTATTTCTGAAAGCAGTAAGTTACCTTTATCTAAAGTTATCTTTAGATATACACAAGTCCTAGTAACACCAAAACTGAGTGCATGGTAACAACTGTCCTCAATAGACTGGTTCACTTAAACTGTGGCTTGAAAGCAGAAGTTCTTTTGGGCTATGCTAAAAAGACTAGAGCAATTACATATTTAATTCTTAATCCAGCCTCCTTTCACTATCAGACCTTCATTGTCATCACCCAAACTCTGGCACTTAAAAATGTTTGTCCAGAAATCGTTTGATGTATGCTATCATTTGGTGAAACATGTGAGGAAAATTCTATCCAACTCCTTTAAAAGTAGCAACAATTCCTTATAAAAATACCATATTTGAAATGTGAAAACTGGCTTCAGTATTTAGGATTTCTATTCAAAAAATGGTCAATTCTTTCTCTAGCCTATCTGTTCCGTGATATCTCCTTTGAAAAAATCTGCACCATAAGCCTGATTTCAGTAAGAGATCTAGAGAGAACCGAGTTTGCTGAATACCAGTGAGTTTCTTGCCACTGACTACAGTATCAGACTGTAAGAAAGTTGTCCTCCCACCAGTGACTGAACAGCTTTAAAAGCTGACAAGTTATGTTTCTGAACTGACTAATTCTCCATATTAAGTTTATTATATAAAGTTTATGTATTTATTGTTGTGGATTTGCATTCAGGCTTGAATAATGTATGCTTAGTATGTGCATGTTATAGGCTCTCACCTGGCAAAAAATTCTGCTCCTGTTTAAATTGATCAACATCCTGGTCCACCAAAAACAGTATTAATGGGTTGAGAATGCACATATATTTACCTATTTGCTTCAACAGAATAGCTACCTCTTTTGTTTCAGTGCTGCATTTTTACTAATTGGTGATTAGTGAGCATTAATTGCAAGATAAAGTTAATACTGTTCAATACTTTTTGTTGTGGATGTTGCTTTGCCTGCTGCATTGGATTTATGGATTTATATTGGATTTATGGATTATAATGGATTTAACTATATATTGCTAGTATGAATTTAGAAATTGTGTTTTACATATATATAATAATGACACTTAGCAACTGTAATTAATTTGAAAGTATCTTCATTAAGATTTTTCAGTTTTGGAATCCCCACGCAGATGGGCCCTGCAACAGAAGACGGCACCTCCTATTTTTCTGCCTGGTAGGATATTAATAAGCTACTCCAGATCAACTGGCACTCTATGTATGTATGCCGTGCTATCCTTACCTCATGCGCAGAACCATAACATTATTATCATGTGATGAAAGGAAATTACAGTTGCTCCTTGAGTTTAAAAGTAGGATTGGTAACAAACACATACATGATCTATTTTTTAATTTCCTGCATTCTCCAAAGTGAGTTTGGAAAAATTAAAAATACCCATGAAAATCTTACATTAAAATCCAATACCAAGAAATGGCATAGTCTTCAAATATTTTCATTCCAACTGATCTTGCATCCAGGACATTATTGATGCCACTGAGAAAAGACAAACAAAAGAAAAGGTAGCTTTAGGTAGAAAAGCAGAATTTATTTAAACAACAAATAGGTTCAGCGAAAGAATTTGAAATATCTTTGCTAGTGATAAGAGTATATTACTACCCTCCAGCTCCAGTACTGTAACCAAGCCAACATCAATCACAGTTACACCAAAGAAAAAACCTGTGTAAAAAAGTCTAAACAGACCCTGGGAAGGCTTTATTTAAAAAGCTTTATGAGAACTATCACCAGATATAATTGCTTATTATGTCACAAGAAAAGTGTATACTGTTAAGATCTGCAATGTAGCAAGAGCCAAGCAGTTGTGACTCCAGAACTGCTAATAGCAGAGAAGCAGAAAACAGCTCAGAGAAGCAAAAGGTTGACTTTATGGAACTGTTTTCCTGTCCTGCAAAGTGCTTGCCCATATTGTTTTCCTAAGAAGAAATGAAGGATCTTCCTATCAAACAGCAGACAATGTAGTTGTACATGGCGGAAGAAGGGAACTTAATAAGGTGCAGGTGTTATCAGTGTTGGTGAGGTGTTAGAAATGTGGTAGCCTTGGATCAAGAGGTAAGAAAAGGTACCCCTGTGCTCCAGACAGGCTGAGGACTGACAGCAGCTGGAAAAGTCAGGCTATTGCAGCGGTTTTCTCTCATCCTGGTTGATGCCCAGGATTGGGGATGCTTGCTGTCCATCTGCAAGGGAGGTGTTGTCGTGCATCAGAGCCCAGTACATCGCTTTTTGACCTTTAGACACGTACCTAAAACAGGAGCACTCTGACAAGCTGAGATGCCCAAAGTACTAGGACAGTTAGTGGAAAGGCCATCATAGGAAGGAATAGCCGAGGCCATTACTGACTGGCCTGAGTCCTGCAGCACAAGGATTTCACTCTCAGCCTCCATTAGCTTTCTTTAATACTAATTTTTGCTAGGAAAAACAACAAGAGTGATTTAAAATCTGACAGTCACTCTGAGACAATCAGATTAAAACTTTTGGCTCCTTGCTTATTTCTGTATACCACAGTGCTGGTTTTCCTTACTGGAACTTTGCAAGTGCCCAGGCACAGAGAGACCCTCAGCCATTTGCTACAACAGATTCTGATTATTTTTTCAATTCCTAAATTATTTCAGAATCGCAGAATCCAACAAATGATCACTTAAGAAGGGTAAAACCTACTTTGCAGCTTCCCTGAGATCAGTTACATTTCTTGTTTTCCCTCTTCCATCTTTGAACGTAGTCTGATTTGCCACGGTTAGCACACCATTCTTCGTGGAGAAGTCTGGGAAGCATCTCTTAAGAACTATTCAAAATATCAAAACAAAACATGCATATTACATTTCATGTCAAGCTCCACCTTTATCACTTGTCTCTTGTAACATATTTAAACAATTTCAGATTCACAGTCAATCGTTTTTCAACTGATTATCTAATGACATGTTGACTTTGACAAATCTATGACTTTTATGCTCTGGGGATTTTTGTCCAAGGTCAGGCATGGTGGAACCATAGCTGTCAACTGGAGATGCTAGGTGCTACCAAGTAACAACAGTAGTATCTGTAGCAGTTTAAGAATTTGTAATAAATGCAGAACTTTCTGTCAGTATCTGGGCAGCTTATAAAAACTGCAGCTTCTCAAATATGTCATTTCATGGTAATAATGAAACCAGCCCCCAGGAAAAGACTCAACATGACTGGTCACAAATGGTATTAGCACCCAAATCAATATATAACAGCACATGTCAGTTCCTCATATGCCAGATGACCTGCAGTACCAGCCACTATCACTAGATATTCTTGGAGAGGAACCAATGGAAAAAAGAAAGAATCTATTGGTTAGTCAGAGGGAGGAGGAGATTATAAAAGAGAGAGAAAAGGAGAAATGTTTACATATTCATGTATGTTGCCCTGCTCTTTGCTGCAAAAAGTCCTGATTTTCATTCCAAAGGGAAGAAGAGGTCAGTCCTCCTACACAGCTGTACTTGAATTTTATGTAACAATTTTGTGCTTTCTTTGTCAGGTTCCAACAAATGCTGATGCCAGCATTCAATATTCAGTCTAGAGTACCAATTATTCTGAGGAAATAATTAAGTAACATATCTCTTCCTCCCTCTGTAATCTTTGCATATTGTTGTAGTCTAAAAGAAGCTAATAGCTTCTTTGCAAATTATTTTCTGTCTTTTGGGTCAGTACATCAGTTTTCATACAAATACTTACTTTTTTAATTTAATCCATATTTTCTCTTTTTGATAACCTGTCCCTGGTTTACATGATGGCTATTTTAAAGCATGAAAAAATAAGCAGCCATTTCATATTTGCATGAGCTTCTGGGTCAGTGACAGACACTCTTGGTATTACAGTTATGCAGCTGAGATGAGCTCTGAGATCTGTGGCTGCCTACTCAGAAATACCTGCTGACCATAGTGACAAAACCATTTTTTGCCCTTTAATTCCTCTGTATGCCCTGCATAGACAGCACTGTTAACTGAAAAGCAAGCTGCATTGTAACTGGGCTTAAGCATCATCTGAACTTCAACAGCTGGCCATACAATCCTTCCTACATTCATGGCATTTTCTTGATGCCATGGGGTTGCTTGCTCACATGTTTTGGAAGGCACAATTCAAGCTGTGAAGTTTTTGTTATCAATGATGATTCAAGAGCAAGAAAGAGCTCAGCTTGACCCGATCACACGCGATCTGATCACATGCTGAATGTTCATGGACGGCAGTTAGAAAGAGTAATAATAAATCTTTATATTTTCACACTGTTTAAAATTGAATGGATGTCACTGTCAGATAACAAGACAGATCCTAGTGACCTTGCCACATAACACTTTTCAGACTGGAGTTGTGCTTTAATGTGAATGCTTATAATCTGCTAAAATGTGTTAAGAAATAGAACCACTCACAAGGCCTGCTTGGAATGATCATCGAAGGACAATCTTCATCACGTAGGACTTGAGCAACAGACTAAAAAAGGGGAAAAATAGGAATGCTGAATACATAGTAGAATAGCTATGTGTTTTTCGTTTTTCACCCAGTCTGAGAAAATGCTCCAAACGGGGCTTTGTAACCTCCTCCCCAAACTTGACTGGTGGAGCTGCAAGATACATTCATGATGTAAGCGAGAATCTAAACTGTCATTGTCATTTGGGAAAAGACTATTCTTTCCTTTTCTAGTGACAAAAAAGACCTGTTCACTTTGGATCAGCATCTAAGCCAGAAGTGACTGGGCAATTGTTCCTTGCCTCCCCTTTGCCTTTTCTCTTAAACTAGAGTAAGAATTTACCACAATTAATATAGCTGAATTGCAAGGTGTTTTAAAGATGGGAGAAATAACACAGTAGTTTTGAGTGCAAAACCAGATACTTGAAGGATAGATTAATTTTCTTAGCTAAATTACTAAGTAGCTATAGATGACTCAGGAGCCTTAAGAACTGGTTTGAGATACTCTACTCTATTGCTGTGGAGTACCTAAGTACTAAAGGATACTGCTTGCCACAGTACTGCAACTACATGGGTAGCTGCAGATATTCTTTTAAGCAACCAGTAATCATTTAAGGAGTGGGGGATTTGGTGTGCATACAAGAACTTCACCCCTGATTAAATCACTGTCAAACGCTATATATAGGACAACTCCTTATATGGTGAAATCAGAATAATTCAAAGCTTTGACGTAACTCAGTAAAATAATACGTATTACATTATTATTGCTTGAAGAAAAAATGTGTTCCATCACCTACTGATACATACACACCTTGCGAGGATTGTTAAAACCAGGTTTGCAAAACTGCTTGTAGTAATTCCACTGATCTGGTTTATATCTGTAGGAAGCCTGAACATCAATGTAGGTTGCAAACCTGTCTGGGCACTTTGAGACACAAAGCTGCAAGAAAAAAAAAAAAAAAGTGAGTAAAAATACACTGGGAGTAAAGAAGGGTAAGGGAAGTCAGTGCAATTAAAAAGCAAGAAAAAGGCCACCTATAAAAGTACACTGTTTTATGGAATTGCCTTCAGTAATGTTTACTGCGGTGTTTAGAAAGGGACATATGCTTTCCTTTTGATTCTCTAGATAAATACTTCCAAAATTTTTTGACAGAATACACTTTCAAAATCTCTCCTCGTATCTGTCATATCAAGCCACTCTCTGCATCTTCTTAGGTTCTACGCATTCTGGTAGATATGCTTTCAGTCTGTTGAAAAAAAAATTGGTTTTCTGAACACCAGGAAAAAGTCTGTTGGGTCTTCTTCTACTTCCATTGGCAATAGTATATGAGCAAGGTTGCACAGTAGCTACTTTCACAGGATACACGTAATTTCTTTCTATTACATTTATAAGGAAAACTTGATTAAAAATGTTTCATGCAGCTAAAATTGTTCCACTCTTCTACACAGTCTCTTCAGTCAAATACATCACCACAGATATCATTCAAGTAAAGTTAGGTGTAAATCACTGAAATGTGACTTTTTACAACTGACTAATGATGATTTTCCCCTAGTTATAAAGCAAGAGAAGGGCACGTGCCAGGACTGAAATTCAGATCAGTCAAGGTACAGCCTTTATAAACTGGATTAATGTGAGAAATCGCGGTAGGACTGGGTTTTGATGAAAGCATCCACTCAGAAGTTATGATTTAGATTTATGTAATGGAGAAGCAGCTGCCCCAATATACAGACTCTGAAGGCTCGGCTGGTCACTGGCATCATGCAAGTGTACAGCTGTTCTGACTCCTCAGTGTTCCTAAATACTGTGAGGTAGTTTGAAGTCCATGAAGTTTCAGCCTCTTATAGAAGGCTGGTCTCTGTTTCCACAGCTGTGCTCCCCAAACACCCTCTGCAAAGCTCTGCTAAGTACCAGAGAGACATCATGCACAAAACTGTATTTCACCTCAAGGGCATTCCACCACATACGACTGTCCTGGTTTGGGCTGGGATAGAGTTAATTTTCTTCCTAGTAGCTGGCATAGTGCTGTGGTTTGGATTTAGTACTATCATTACTATTAATAGTATTATTATTACTGCTGCTATTTTACTTCATTTTATTTTCATTATTAAAGTGTTCTTATCACAGGTTTTCTCTTCCAGTTCTCTCCCCCATCCCACCAGGAGGCGGGAATGAGCAAGCGGCTGTGTGGTGCTTAGTTGCTGGCTGGGGTTAAGCCACAACAATGATTCACTTAAAGGAATTTTGGGAAAAGATCTTATACTAGTCCTTAGAACAGGGCAAGTGCTGCAAGAGGGTCTTGCCAGATGAGTACTACAGTCCTATGGACTACCCACAGGCCAAGGAGCAAAGGAAAAAAGAGTTTTGTCCTTGCTGGGACAACAGGTGACTAACAGCAAAGTATACACTTTACTCTAACCTCAGTTTCCCATCTATGAAACAGGCAATTAAATGTGCTGTCTATGGATCCAGTGAACTGTAATAACAGTTTGCAAATCCACAGACTCACTCAAGAACTGAAACTCTTCCCATGCCAGTTCGTGGGTTTTTTTCCTCCTGCTATTTGATATGAATGGGCAGTTAAAAAGAGGAATTATCAAACAAACTTTTCTTCAGCATTTTCACAAAAGACCAGAGAATTAACCATCTGCAGTAGCAAACAGCATTCAAAAACATTCTCAGTTTTCGAGATGATGTATGTTTGAAAATAAACAAAATAACTACTCTGCTCCCCCAAACTCTCCTTCAATAAGTATTTCACCTTACTTGATTCATGACCACTGCCAACTTGACCACAGCACCAGTCAAATCCCACACAATGACCTCAGTATTTCTGAACAGGCTGAATTGTTCCAGTAACAGAGTCTAAAGACTGCAGGGTAACAGTGTCGGTGTCTGCATGTGGACAGATGGGGATTCCTGAAGCAAATCTGCTGCTGATAGAGAAAGTTTCCATTCTGACAGCAACTGGTCAGTGTTAAGAGGGTTCTTGCTCTTCCTTGCTGGAGATTTCCATCTCTTCAGCTCTGTCAAATAGTCCATACGGTCACACTAACTGATAGGCCAGAAACATCTATCAAGGATAGGGATCAGGAGTAAGGGCAAGCTGGAATGGGAAACATTTTAAAATGATAGTCAAATAAATAGACAATTAACATTTGTAATCAGTAAATTGGTTACCATATAACAACCCTCATCCAAATTAATACTGGACTTCACTGAACGTTGTCAAGATGGCTGAAACCATACTCTGTCACCTGCAGTTTAATTACACAGTACAATTACTTTGGCAGCAAAGTTGGATCAGAGCACTCCTGCACCTAGTTCCTCTGACCTACCCCATGCCATAAGTTGTTGCCTCATAAGATGAACTGACATAACTGGTTGTGCAATAGTTCAACAAACGAGTTCAGTAAAATGGTGTCAGGAGGATAATTTTAACCCACAGAAGTTCAGTGACTGGGTTTATTTCACAGCTTCACAAGAAGCTGTAGCACAGCTAAAGGAGTACAAATTGGGGCATAAGGAAAGAATAAGCTTTCAAGATCTTCACTTTTGAAAGTGTCATAGGCTCTAACCACACCCAGATACTACTGTCGCTGGGGACATGCACATTTTCCTGAACATGTCTAGTTTGGAAAATTCCAGATATCAATCAAAATTATTTTCTGCGTGCACTGATTACTACTGGATAGCTGCCTGTGATGAATTCATAAGTAACAAATTGCTGTATTCAACTAAACAGACCTTTTTTGTCAAATCTTATCCAAACTACACAATCTTGTGCATTTCTGGTTATTTTTTCTTACCATCACAGGCTACAGAGACCGTGTGCTACACATGTCATCTATGAAACAATCATATGATATTTGGTAGGATATGAACAGCAATTTTTAAATCCAAACAAATGTATGTCTAGTTCTTAAGCACCATGACTAAGAGGCAAATATTTTATCTTTATATTTCACTCACCTGTGTTGTAGGGCACTGTAGGTTTATTAACACTACGGGGCTGGCACATTTCAGAATGTTAAAGTAAAACAAAATGGTCTTGTTCCTATGGAAGTGGATATAAGATAATTAATGTTATAAATATGGGGGCTTATACATCCTACCATTCAAAAATTTATAGCATACATCAATATTTAAATTCTATTATTGTGAATGGTCATATTGCAAACACAAGACAAAAAAACAAATCCCAGGTAGACCCTGAATGTTCTGTGCCAAGACATCTCTGAAACCGGAAGTATTTGTTCTAAAGAATGCTAATTTTGAGAACTTTTTTCCACAGCAAGGTTTTAAGCTGAAACAACCCTAGACACTGTTACAGGTATCTGTAGTCCTGCCTCTAAGAAGTGAGGTCTGTAAAATATCCCTGCAAAAGCACTGTGGTCCCTTTGCTTACACCAAACACATTGTGTATATACTGCATGCAAAATTACTATCAGCAAATGCTATACTCTAAAAGCTGCCTATTTTTTGTTGATCAGAAGGTGGCACCAAAATCAATCAGAAGATTTTTATGGTTGGAAACTGAAAGCAGCTGGCCAGGAAACAGAATGATAATAGCGCTAATAAACCTCCTTTGATATAAATAAGGGACAGTCTGAGGGGTTTGCACCCCAGAATCCACACAATTGACAGCTTCTGGAACTTGGGACCTTGAGGTAGCTGTCACCTCAGTTTGGATTTGTTGGAAACTGACTACCCCAAGATCTCTGGATTTAAACACCTGGGTTTTGAAGACAGCAAAATATGCTGTTAATCTTTGAGTTATGTCAGAAAATTATCAGAAAGCTCTAGTGAAGATGGTACAGTTGTAGTCCTGCTCTTTTTACACGAGACTTCAAAGTCAGCTAGCCATGTCAGGACTATGCAGTGTCCCTGCAAGAAATAATGGTGCATGTGCCCCGTTGTGGCCTATGATGTGCATAGTAAGCGGTGTTTGAGCCACCACTGAACCCCACTGTGGCAATGCAGCACAGATGGAGCTCTGCCTTGGGAGCAGGATGGCAGTATTAACAATGAAGTGTGCTTGGGCTATCAAGGCTGCCCTTCTTCCATCTGTGGATTTAGCACAACTCCTGCTCCCACATCTCTCTATTGTATCCCCCAATTCCAGGACATATCCTCTGATCTTCCACCAGCACGTGGCTCCCACCAATTGCTGAATATGGCTATGCCTTCAAAGCCACTATATAGCATCACTGCACATTCAAGATCCCTTTAAAACTGGGATTAGCTCAATTGCCTGACATTTTACAAGGTTAAATTGTTTTCACCAGGGTATATTCTACTATGCACTGTTTAACAAAACAAGCATATTGGCAAAAACAATTCACTATCACTAGTTGTTATTTCTTCAAATCAATAGAATAAAATTTTGAACTGAAATGTCATTGTTCTTCAATAGTTTCTTGAAAGTATTTATAATCTGTGAGCTGCTCAAAGCCATTAATGAAATCTTTTTTTTTCCTTGTATCTTAGCCCACTTGCTGATATTGATAGCAGAAAAGAAAGTTTAAACATATACATAACACAAGAAAACAGCCACTGAGAACTAGTTTGGTATTCTTTACAATGAAATTGTGTTGTATTCTGTGATTACGCTGTGCTCTGTAGAAGGCAAAACAAGCTTAGAGATTACATGGAGATTAATGGGTGGATTACAGGGAGACACAAAGAGGCCTAAGAGACTTGCATGACAACACAAGGTAGAAGTAATTTGACTGCATGGAATTCACTGGAGTTCAAATGGGGTTTTGCATGAGCTGTGAGTGTTGGCTTGGTTTTTTGCTTCCCTTTTCAAGTGAGATTGCTGGGAATGCTTGTTCCAAGCACAAGATTCAAAACACAGAGACTGTGATTGCTTTCCAAGAAAAAAGTCTCAGACTACGCCTCTGGGGACTTTGGAAAACCATAATCCTGGGTTAGACTTCCACACTGTTTACTTTCAGGGCATCTGAAAAATCTGACAATGGTATCAATGAAGGCCTGACAAGTACATCCCACACCTTCACTTTCAGGGACTAGAGGGACTTGTTCAGAGGAGCCTCCTGGCCTACTGCCACAAACACTCTTGCTTTTCCAGTAGGTTGTATTATGTGTCTTTTGGCTCATATTTTTATAAGAAACTCCTCAATGTAGCAAATAAGTGCCAAAATGCTGTCTCAGTAGCTGTATTATTCTCCAGCAGTCATATATATGGAGGGACATTAGTGAATACAAACTGTAAATCACATTGTAAGAAATAACCAAAGGGAAGAGTTGAGTAACAAAGAGAAAGAGGGAATGGAAGTGGATGATAAGAACCAGAGAGAAGCATCTTGCTACATGCCACACAGTGCATGGATGCTGTCTGACACTCCCAAACCCATTTGCCCACTGCTTCCTACAGACCAGAGAGAGGACAAGGACAACTGGGCATGGGAGTGGAGAAGGGGTGCAGTGAGGGGAACACACACAACACTACAACTTTTTGACCTAGTTTTTTGTCTTCAGGAAGTTGGACACTCCAACAACTGCTGGGTAGAATCTTAGAGGGTGGAACAGGTCTCAATACACTATCTGTTTCCTCTGAAAAAAAACTTGAAAGGATATAAAGTCCTAGCTCTACCTCTGTTCCACTCCCTATCTCCTGCTCCTCCCCTTCTGAACTGCCCTTTGGACAGCGGCTTCCTCAGTTTTTTTCCCAGAAAGATAAATGGGAAAAGAAACAAGCTGTAAAGAGCTGTTATCAAACATTAACTTCTGTTTTGCTTCCTGCATAGCATCCAGCTTCTTGACAGTGACAAGGGCATAAAGGGTGCCTAATACTTACTTTTTAAAAGGGAGAAGGTGAGGGAAAAAGCAAACTATTTTTTAAATTGTTTCATAAAACACTTAGATTTTCAGAGAAAACATCGATGTGACTTTTTCTTTCCTGAGCAGCTATTTCCATGTAGAAGTACTCTGTTGATATCAAGTAATTAATTTAACTTTCACAATTCAAAATTTAAAAAGACTGGGAGACTGAGACAAGTAAAGAGAGCCGTTTGGCTGATATCCCCATGGAAAGTATGGTTACAGCTGCCTGTCTCCCAGACCACTCAGTCTCCTCTCTATTAGCATTGGATGAGGGGTCTGGAAGACAAGTCATATGAGGAGCGGCTGAGGGAACTGGGGTTATTTAGTCTGGAGAAGAGGAGGCTGAGGGGAGACCTGATTGCTCTCTATAACTACCTGAAAGGAGGCTGTAGAGAGGTGGGAGTCGGCCTCTTCTCCCTGGTAACAGATGACAGGACGAGGGGGAATGGTTTGAAGCTGCACCAGGGCAGGTTTAGGCTAGACATTAGGAAAAACTTCTTCACTGAAAGGTTTTCAGGCTCTGGAATGGGCTGCCCAGGGAGGTGGTAGAGTCCTCCTCCCTGGAGGTATTTAAAAGAAGGATAGATGAGGTGCTTAGGGACATGGTTTAGTGGTGGGATGGCAGGGTTAAGTTAAAGGTTGGACTCGATGATCTCAAAGGTATTTTCCAACCAAAGTGATTCTATGATTCTATGATAAGCACCAGAAAAAAACAAGAGCTTTTCCTTATGGTCTTTTCTGTTACTCAGTGCATGTTGAGAAAAACTGAGAACGAGGCTGAAATGCTTTGGGATTACTCTTATCCCAAGGTGGGCAGAATTACTCAACAGGCTATTAACTATCCAAACTTTGGCAGTCAGAAGCTGTGCCACCTAGTCACTTTCTATGCAATTAGTGATGCAATCTTTAAGTTATATTGATACTTTACCAAAAACATTCTCTGAATTATGAAACCAACTGCATTATAGTAATAATTTGGGTCTAGATTTGCACTGAGCAACTAATCTATTTCTGAACTTCATTTGCAATAAATTCAGTAGAGTGTTGCTGTCTTTTCAACTTCCCACAAGAACCCCTAGCAGACAGAGAGATTTGAAACCTCACATCTTATTCATAGTATATAAGTAATAAAGGTGTGTGAATAGATTTAGTACTCACTCATTGAGGGTATCTTTCTGACCACAGAACTGCCCATAGCTGTCAGTTGGATAAATCACTTTCCTGGGGTCACCGTGCACCCAAGCTGCAAATACACATACATCCTTTAACATTTTAGTCAAGTGTACACAGTTAATAGCTGAAATTGATTAGCATGAAAATATATCACCTCTAGTGTACCATTTTCATCTTTGCTGATCACCATTGAAAAGCATTGGTTTATAGATTCCCTAATGAAAAACTAAAACGTAAAACAAACTGAATTGAACTAAGATATGGATGAATCAGTAAGGAAGCAAACCAGTTCACTTTTTACCTTCAGGGCACATATATCTGGGTTGTATCCAAAAAATGATGTAATGGACTTAAAAGATAATGGTTACTAAAAGAGGAAAGAAGAGCAGCTAACTATGTAGACAAATTTCAGTGTTCACAAGACAACCACAATGGCATTGAAATTAATGGGATTACCTGGTGTGCAACAGAAATACACACGGTGTGACTGAATCTAATGGACTCCATTTGCGCTAAGAATGGAAACAAACTCTCACTTTGTAAACGAAAACATTTCCTGACCTCTCACTTGGCAATTGTCCCATTTTTCAGTTATTAGGTCTGCACCTGGCAACTTATGTATTATATGCTAGCATGAACCATAGTACTGAAAGGGAAGAGAGGTTTATATTGAACTTTTAAACTTCTTTTCTCTAATTCCAGGCAGGATTTCTTCTCCAAGCCATTTTCACCTGCACCATTACTTCCCTTTGAGGATCAAGTACACACCAGCTATCGCTATTAGTATTGTTATTTCTAAGCTGTTGTGTGCCGACCTGACTAAGCATTCTTCATGACTAGCCAATGACTAGCCTTTGAACTGTTCTGAGTACTAACTGCTGATTTGACCCTAAATAACGGAAATGTCTTTTTTTTAAAGTGTCGTCTGAAAGTAAGATATAATGCCAGAATATAATTCCATATCACTACCCTGAGCTGACACCCTAAAATCAGGTTGCTAGAGAACTGTTAGAAAGACCACTGATCTTCTCCCAAGCATTTCCTTGTGCTTGTATTATGTGGAAAAGATTACAGGTATTACAAAGATTTTACTCGCAACCTTCCCCCTCTCACACTATATACTGAATGTCAGGAGCCCACTTAGCATACATTTTAGGCTTTGATCTATGCAAACCACCTTGAACTTGCTTCTCTGTAATTACCCCACTTTTCTCTCAACTTTGTGACATTGTATTTAGTCATTTGTGAACCTGTCATTTCCCTCAAGGTCACTTTGGTACGAATAACAGCACTTAACAATAATGAGATGTGCAGTAGAGACAGAACCTATGTAAGAACTCAGAGCAGCAGACTGCAAATTTATTGAAATGTTCAGGACAGATGCAAAACATATCTTCAGTGACTTGCAGATAGTTACAGAGAATCTGTAAAGCTACCTTTCACCTGGAACAGTTTTAGGTAACCAAAATGAATCTGCTAGTTCTTTTTAACCTATGTTAGTTTTTCTGTGTTTTGGAGGTTGTAAATTAACCTGCTGCTTGGTATCAAACACTTTCTGAACATTCAGATTAACTGCATTTCAGATTAACTGTGGTGTTCTGCTGCTCAGAGACAGCTAAAGTGCTTCACCAGTGTTAAACCCCATTTACTTTTTTATTTGTTAGCCCCCACCTACTTATTTCAGTAGCATTATTTAATAGGAGCATTTAGAAGGCATCAACTCTCTCTTAGGAGTTACTACAGTCAGTTGATAACTCATATGTGTACGTGACATTAGAAAGCAGACAGCTCTCTGGTCATTGCAATGAGTCTGCAGGTTATGCCATGTACACTTTGACTCTAACAAGAGGGAGTTTTTCCTTCTACTTTAATATGACTTTGCTTTTCATATGTGTAAAAGCCTGGTTCCAAATGGATCAAGCTCCTATACAGACCTGAAAGACTTATCAGGCCTTACTTGTATGAGTCTAACCCATCGGCGATTTCCCAGCCCCCAAATTAGTTTTTTTAAATTAGTTTGGCACATTATTAAAGGGACAAATTTTCTGCATTTGACTGTATTTTTTCTTTAACATCAGCAAAACAGGAGGCAGTAGAGATAAGCCCCACCATGTCAGATTCAAAGCACCGGCGAGAATTTTGTAGCAAAACTTATATCTGTTTCATATAGATAATTTGGAAGTAGTTGCTACTGCCAACAATATCCCTTTCCTAAGTAGTATATTAAACCTGGAATTATTTTTCACTCCTCAGACAAACTTGGGAGAAGGAGATAAACGCTGTAACATAATACTGGTTTAGGGTTTTTTTGCTGTCTCAGTCTTATTAAGGATCTTTCTATAAGAAGTGCCCATGTGACCAAGGCTTACTTCCTTCAGCCTGTTTGGGTGGACTAACAGCCAACAAGAATAAAACTCAGCTCGTCAAATGGGCAGAGCAGTGTATTCTCCTCACATTCTTTTTAGTTCTAATACAAGATCTGCTGCAATATTTCAAAAGGCTCCCTTAGTTTCACTGGGTTTGTATCAATCCTTGGTCTCAAATTTAATCACTCATCTTTTTGCAGGGTGTTTCTTAATTTTTAGTAGAAATTAGCAGAGTATAAACAATGGAACACACTGCTCAATTCTGAATAGAATTTCTGTTCAGACTGTACCTGCTTTGCCATTATCGAATTGTCTAAAACTACTCCTGCTTGGCAGTAGCTGTCCTGTGTGCCTAAGGCTTCAGTCATGTTCTTAATAAAACAGTATTAAAAAGAATCTGCTTTTAAAAAATAGACTTAGCACACTTTGTGAAATTCCATCACTGGGATCAGCTGCTGGGTGGATGAAGATGCCTCTCAGCTAAATTCCAAAGTGAATAAAAAATAACTTGTCTGATTTACAACATATACATTTAGCATTTAATTAACTTGGTGGCAGAAGGAGAAAGGAAGGGACCAACAGAAGAGAAAATACACAGCTTTTTTCGTTGCCTGTGCCAGGGCTAACCATAAAGATTAATAAACTAAATCCTCTGTCACCTTCTTTGCAAACTTAGAGCGATGACAGTGAAAGAATCCACGCGATAAATACAAAATTTTTCTGGCCTAGTCAGTGAAGAGTAAGTACCTAATTCAACTGTTGTCACTGAGTGAAGAAGGTTATTGTAAGAACTAGCCTGACAGAGCAGCACCATATTTTGCATGTTGTGCTGCACTATCGGTGACTGACTATCAAGCACTAAATGAAAAGGAACCTAGTCACATAAATTTTTATTCCAGCACGCTCTGATGCTCATGAAGCTGCAGTCCGAGTGCTGGCACAAACATCTGGGCTAAAGCTAAAAAAGAAAATTAAAGAACAGCTGAACCATATTACACAGTTGACTCAGCCCTCAGAGCAACAATGTGACATCCTATGACACCAGCATAGCATTTTCAGGAGGCCTGCAGTCAGTCCTTTTATTGATGTGGAGCCAACACACATGGACAGTATCAAAAATAGCTAACATCCATCACTAAATGTCTATCAGATGCACGCTTTTTTTTCTGTGCTCTGTGGTCTATGTCAGTGATTGTAAAGGCTTGAAAGCTCCCTGTCAAGGAGAAAATGTAGTAAGAACATCATGATACTTAAAAATGAACTGCAAACCTCTTTATACTACCTGTCTCGTTCCCTCTACCGTGTAATTTTGAAAGGGCAGTCTTTCATATCATTATTTTGCTTCCCTTAAAGCTGTATTTTTAATGTTTTAATGTATGGAGAAACGGACCTGCCAAATTGTTTTTACAGCTTTTTAACACAAGCGATTTACTAATGTATTGAAACAGGCAACAGAACACATGATACAGAATTTGTAAATCCATGTTGGTAACACTGGTATTGTATAAGCATCCCTCGGAGCAATGCAACAAGAGCCACTACTTTGAATTAACCTGTCCTTTGGAATGTGAGGCTCTTTTCCAAGATAACTTATTTGCCACCTTTTATGTGCACTTTTTTGAATTAAGATAATCTTAAATTAAGAGGCCAAACATTTGTAAAGTATCACCCAGATAAGCCCAGTGTCTGAAATAAACATGAAGAGTTAAGTCAGTTTGATAGGAAGAAAACCTACACAGAATGTTAAATTAGCACTGTTAGTTCATTTGTGAAGTTAAAAGAATGGTAAGAAAGTAAATCAGAGAATAACTTTTTCTTTTCAGTACAGTCACTCAACAGCAGCTATCACTGAAGCAGAACTAAGAAAGGTTAGTATCAAAAATCATTTGGTTTCATCTTTCAAGGAGAATTAATTACTTTTTACTCAGATTACATTTCAGCCCCCCTGAAACATAAAAAAGTTCTACTCCACTGTTACACAGACACACATATAGCTGAAGCCTACATGAGCTATACATACAATACTGAGGGCAAAATTTGACTCAGATTTTCAGTCATAGCAGCTATGTGATGAACCCGCATTTATGGCTTTCTTCTCAAGCCAAATTAAACAGGCATCCAGAGTGGTATTTTTTTTTTCTATAGGAAAGCATAATTAATGAGTAAGGATCGATTTATAATCTATTCTCTCTTAATGTGAACTTCTTTGACTCTCATGTATTTGTACAGGGCTGGCCCCTGGAACTGTACCAAAGCTGATCTCATCTTTGACTTAGAAATAAATTAGAGTAAAAAGAATAGCTGAGGCACAGTATAAGGAAAGATGAAAAGCACGGACCACGTGGATCCGGATTTGGAGCAGAACTAAATGTTGCTAGATTGAAAATTCAAATCTTCTCTCTAAGAAAGGTAGAAAAAGTCCCCGGCTACAAATTTGGTGTCTGGTTCCAGGAATAGGTACTAGTTCTAATCAGTATTTTATAAGGTTTGCAAGAGAAGGCTGTTCAGACACCTTGTGTCCAGTAGGAAATCACTGCATGTGCAGAGAAGGGATATGACTAATGCACTGTCTCACATCACAGTAACTACATTACAGACATGAAGAAGCAAGGAACTGGCCAGTCCTCTTCGGCTGCTATCTACTTCTGCATATGGGGTTCTTTGGAAACTGCACATACAGAGTTGACACAGAGTTCTAGCCAAAAAATCAAGGAGATTTATATAGTGCTGGAAAGAGAGCCAAGATCTGGCAGCACAAGAATACTGTACTGCCAGAAACTGCCAATGCTCTCCTTTCCCTCTGTCCAGGTAGCAGCACTTCAGAATACTGCCTGTCTGCACAGGGGCAGGTCACCAGTCACCAGAGCATTTGTACTCTCAAGAAAACAACAAACGTTCCTCTGATCTGAGTCCAGCTTCTTCAGTTCAGGCTTTGCATTTGAGCAGTGAGAGAAAAAGAGAGCAGAACATCAGTGAAGAATCGGTGAAGTCAATCGGGTAGGAGGAGGAGGACAACAGGACAGAATTAGAGGGATGTCCTTCAGATATGGCATACTCTCAGCACCAAGTGGGAGGCATGGCAGGTCTGCAACAGCTGTGCACAGTCCACCAGCTACTATTGCTTCTTAGGACTAATAATTTACCTCCTTTTCTTCAGCCTATTCCAGAGAAGCTTTAGTAAGCAGACATATATATTGCATGTATATTCCAGTAAGTCCCTCTCCAATCTTCTATAACTGGGAGCCACTTGACTATTTCTGCTCCAAATACTTTCACAAGTCAAATGAACATTAGTGTCGATTTGGGTTTAAGCAAAGTGGGAACAATGCAATTAGGCCATGAGGGCAAGAAGATGCTTCATTCCACAGCAAAGGAAACAGCCCACAGGATTCAAACAGTAGCCAGAACTGTGATGAGAGTGTACATGCATGATTTTGCATACACAGAATCCAGTAGTGGCTAACAACAAAGAGATCCTGGACTTGTCTCCACACAGATGCCACTAATGTTAACTTAAGCATCATAATTGCAGACACTGATCCTGTGAAAAAATTGTCAAAGTCAGCATTTCAAGTCAGTCTGAAGCTGACTGTACAATCATGCCATGCAGCACTGTTAGCGACTCTCTTCACAGATCCAATCCCAAAGAGAATCCTATAGTTTCTGTAATCTCTAGAAGTACGGCATAAAATCAAACACAGCTCAAAGAGCTTCTGAACTCTGCCCTCTTTTCTTACATTCATAGATCTCAAGTTACCATTCATTTTCAGGAAACAGAAGCTGAGAGATTAGATAAGAAAGAAAAAGAGTTTTGAAAAGAAATAGTTTCTTCCACCTGCAAGCATCATCAGCCATCTGTTACCCTGGTGTTTGCTTCCTAGTGCGGGCTTCTCATTTCCTTGCAAAGGCCCTCCACGCCTCTCTCACTTGCTGGTACATACCATTTGCTTCCTCACTTTGTCTTCGTGAAGACATAAAGGTTCACAACGGGGCAGTAAGGGCAGATGAATAAGGGAAAGAAAAGATACACTCAGAGAATTCCCAATGCTTGAGAGAAAGAACAGATTTTTCAGAATGTGTTCTGTGCTCAGCTACTACAGGCAAGGTGAGAGAAGACAGCTCAGCACTGTGGCTTGAAGGATGTTATGCTACTGTACAATTTAGTGGGAGGACAGAGTATTCTCTCAGACAGTTATTGGAACCACCCAGATTAAAGCAGCCTTGTTTACAGCCATCTTCTCATGCTACAGACAGCAGATTTTCACAGAATGGGTGGGGTTGGAAGGGACCTCTGGAGGTCACCTTGTTCAAAACCCCTGCTCAGGCAAGGTCACCTAGAACAGGTTGCCCAGGTCCACATCCAGACAGCTTTTGAATATCGCCAAGGATGGAGATTGCACAACCTTTTCTCTCTACAGAACCGAAAATGGTATTACAGAATTATGAAGAAAACAAATGGCTTTTCTTCTATGTGAGGCAGGGCCAAACCAATCTTTTACAAGCAAATTAAAAGAGCTCAGGCAGACATGCAGATACACAGTAAGTACACTTTTACAGTATCATTTGTCCTTTCACACACAGGCATACATACAATTGTCTCACACAAACAAAATAAAATGGCTATTATTAATGAGTATCCTGATGTGCAAACAGCTCTGGATCCCACAATAAATGAAGTCATTTCTCTTACTTCTCCTTTTACTGCTCACATAGGTTCTTTCAGTAATATTTTACAGAACAAAAAGCCTCTTAAAACTAAAGCGTTTATCTCTAACTTTTGCTGTCAGATTAACAACGAATGAAAGTGAATTTTTCCACCACAGTTACTTTATGATAGCAAAATTATCAAACCATGTAATTTTTACTTGAACACACTCAATTTTGAGTTTTTCATCAGTAAACAGATGGTTTTGAACTTCTCCCTAATTACAATAGACACTGAATGTGAATTCATTATTTGCTTCTCTAGGCAAGGCATTCTTATTGATTGGAAAGGTTTACACAGATTTAAGCAAAAGGGACATCTCAGTTAAAAATTCTGACATTCACAAAGTTGCTTCCCCTGTGTATGAGAAAGCATTACTATACCTGTGTTTACTTACCCACAATTCCTAATGCAATGTAACCCAGAATGACAACTATGAAGATCACACAGCAAATAATGTCTGTACAGTGCCTAGGGACAGAAAGAAACACTTTTTAAAAATAAGGTGTCTAATATGAAAGCACCAAGTGTCATAGGGTATTTTAACATCTGAATAAGATGTCCGCATCTGCATTTAGTAGAAGTCTTACAAAATCATGTCTGAGGTGTAAGGCCCTGCTTTCACAGCAAAACCCAGCAAATAAATGTGTATACCTTTTGCAATGTAGAATGCAATATAAAAACATAGCGAGAAACAGGTTTAAATATTCTTAAAACAAATAATACATTACAATGTTGAATCCATGAGAACACTTATGGTATAAGCTACTACAGGACATCTGCTTCAGCATGTCCCTAAAGCTGGTATCAAATATTGCAAACAATTGTGTTGAAAGAAAGGTTCAGCACAACTTACCTGTACTATAAATAGCTTATGAATGGAAAAATAACAGCATGAGATGAAAAAAGGCCTATATGCAACTACCCCTGATCTCTGCAAAAAATTCTGCCTTGGCTGCATGACCTAATTGGAGAACCATTGCTTCTTTTACAGACAAGCAAGCAAAGAACAGCACTGTCCAGTCTGAAAACTGAGCCAATGAGTAAACCATGAGTATCCAATTAAATTGCTGTCTTCTACTTATTGGTCTGCATATTAAGTTCATGCAGGCAGAGGAGTGGAGATGTGGACCACTAGACTAATTTTTCTCCAGTGTCCGACCTTGATCAGAGCAGTTCCAGGAGTGTAATTAACATGAAGTATGACACTCCCAAGCGAGCAGGAGGAGGTCAGTATGCACTTGTGGAGACCATCCACTACAAGGGCTCTGGCTGGGGTCAGCAGTTCTCTCCTTCACGAGCCAACTTCACAAGCCCTCATTTCTAAAGATGTGTGGAAGCAAAATAGTTACCATCCCACAGGCCTTTGCAGGCCTCACTGGTTAAGAAACATTTGCAGCTAATGGTCTTGCTAGGATTTAATTAAGAAAGGAGTGAATTACTCGTAACAGGGTATGCTGCCTAGAGCCTCCTTATCTGAAGGATTTCAACAGCTGTTGTTATTTACCATATCTTGCTTATCTGACACAGTTTTGGTGGAGAACGTGTTGTATAACCTAAAGGTGTATGAACTGTAACCTCCCCATTGGGGCAGGCCTTGTGTCCGCAGAGCCTATTGGGGTGCTGCTCCAGGCTGTCCCCACAGCTGTACTAACAAATTGCTGCCATTCTGACCTGATCCAAATCCCATTCCACTTTTCCATGACAGATGAGTGAGCAATAATCACCCTGGGAAAGCTAATGTGTGCTTCAAGTTAAAGTCAAGGACTACATTAATAGAATGAGCGATGCTCATCTCTGCTCGCAAGTCCATGCTTGCCAGTAAAAGAAACCTTAGAATCCAAACTTCAGCTGACACACATTCGTCATTTAGCATCCACCATTCCTTCCGTTTTCCAGTTTATGTTTCCTCTTACAGAGAACCGTTATTCTTTAGCATAAAGGAGATAAAGATGGCAGATCTTTCAAACAGTTGGAGAACTTGAAAAGTGTTTCCAGGTGTGGAAAAGGAATGAAAAATCCTGTACGCTTCTCTAGAGAGACACAGTCTTAACATCTCACTGAAATAAATTTTTACTGAGGCCAAGGTGGTACAGAATTCAAAATCAGTATGACAGTAATCTAAGAAAGAAGAGTGCTTAAAGTAGAAGAAGCAATGCTAAAACAACATGGCTCATTTTCCCAGCCTCCATTCAGAAGCAGTTCTGACACTGTTCAAGCTTGGCTCTCACTGCATCAGAGCCGTTTTTAAGAGGTACAATATTTAATTCAAGATGTCTCAGGAGAAATATGGCACCATAAATACTTTAATTACAACTCCTATAGTCTGAAAAACCTCTCCCAGTCCAATTCTCACAGGTCTCATTTTATGATACCTAAATGCAATTAAAGGTTACACCCGTTTGTGCTAAAGCTGCCTTTTAAAGTTTTGCAAGCCACCATGAACAAGTACCCATAAACACTTTACCAGAATGCAGGATTTTCTGTTCTTTGTAATGCCCAAACTTCTGTATAATACCTAGTAAAACTCACTGTTGCCAAGTATTGCTGTTATATAAATATTTTAAAAATATATAAGAAGTACATAAATCCTCTTTTAGGTGGCTTCAGAAAATTCTGGAACAGTTCATACAGACTAATTGTTGTTCATACAAAATAATTGCTTATTTTACTACATACTACAGGTGAAACTCTGGCTCCATTTACATCATTGTTAGCTCAAGTAGCTCACTTTCAGTGTGATCATAATATTACCTCACAAATACAAGGCTCCACAGGAGAGGAAAAAAGTGTAAAACAACTTAAATGTATAAATTAAAATAACTCTGTAAAGACACAAGGTGATACTGTGAAGATTCTGAGAGTTTCCAAAGTCACAGGAACTAGAACGATGGGAATAGCCTCTTCCTAAACAGGAGATATTGGAAGCCCATGCTTATTGCTGAAACCTCATCAGAAATTATCCAGCCATGCTTTGACTGAAAACAGATTTGATATGAATTTTTTCAAACTAAGAAAGCAATTTGTTATGGCAAATCTGCTTTTTCAGTTTCTTTCTGGCTAATGAGGCAGAGCAAGATCACTCAGGAGACTGAACTGCTAAAGTGAACCCTAAGAAAGATGGATTAATGGAAATACGATTAAAAGAACAGGAACTGAGACCACTACTTACCATACGGGCTCTATAATCTTTCTTACAGATAGCGCTATCATACTTTTATATAACAATTATGTGTAAACATTCAAATATTAATGAGAAAAAGCATTTTACATTTCTTATGATATAAATGACAAAACATTAAAAATGCTTTTGCTGATAGCCAGTATTGGAAATGTTGATGTTTTCTGGTACTTTTTAGATAACCAAGTTCCATAATCTGAACCAAAATAGAGTGAGTCTATGTATTTGAACACAGGAGTTTCCATAGAGATAAATTGCTGATAAATCCATCAGATTCATCATTTTCCGATGACGTAATAAAAGACCTTCATTTGGTTAAGTGCACAGTTCGGGCTCCCACATCACATTTTACTGCTTACTGCTGTCATTTAGCTTAATTTATGGAGCCTGATTTGCCTTCCACCATCCCTCAGAAACATACTGGCTTCTTGGCTTCTCTTGCTGTGTTACATGTGGCAGTGCATGCAAACAATACTTTGTGCGTGTGTAATGGCATCCTAGCAAATAAATGAATGCAAAGATAAAACCATCCGCACAGAGTATTAATGCATAAAAGCCATTTATTCACTGACAGTTCATGCACTTAATCGTTAATGACTGAGTAGAACCTCTCTCTAGCAGTTTCATGCCCAATCTGGCACAAGTGCAATTTCGCTCAAGATGCTGCACTAGCAAGAAACTACAACGTTTATTAGTTAAACAGCACTAGCAGCACATTAGCACCTACAAATAGTCTTGAGCCCTGCACTGTGCAGCCACAGAGCAAAACGAGGCTTAAGATGTTCACAGTGTGAGTTCCAGGTTACCAATTTCAACTTTGCTGACACATTAAGGTGACCACTAATGTCCTCACTTCTGAGTTCCTCCTCCCTGCCTGCTTAACAGTTTGTGTTTTGAGACTCCCCTAAATCACGGTGCATCAAGGTGATGTTACACTATGCCATACAATGTTACGAACAGCTCTGAAGACCACTTTCTTCACTGGGGCTGAACTGAGAAGAAAGATCTGCTGTACAAATGGGTATTTCTATCAGCACAGTGACATTGAGGGCATCATCCTGCACAGTTGAATAAATGTGTAAGGCGCCCATAAACTAAATATTTGCAGAGAAAGTTCCTTTCAAAATCCCCCATGAATTGCCACTTCTACTGTGGAGGCCAAAGCTGCACAGAAAAAGATATTTATACAAGTTTTCACTGCAACCATCAACTTAAATTCTGCATTTTCTTAATGAGTACGAGTGATCTGCACTGACCTGCATGGATTTACTAAGCTGATGTCTTAGTTAGAGGCACCATGCTTAAGGAAGTATTGTTTAGTTCTGGAAAACTCAAATTTCAGTATCTGCAAATGAGCAACCTCTGTAGAAACTGTATGCCCTAAACCTGGAACACAAAATAAAAACTCAAAGAAAAATGTAGGTTTCCCCACTCATATCAGCAAGTGCACAGCACGTTATGTTGATACAGACAACAACATGTAATAAAATATATATGGACCAATCAAATACCAGTAGGAAGAAAAATAATTTTATATTCTACCAACATTTATCTATGGTAGATTCTTAGTGTAGTCTAAGTAACATCTTTAGCAGGCTACTTAGTTTAAAAAGCACAAAGGATAATTTAAATGTCAAAATTATTTATTATTTCAATATTGACCACAGTACCAAGTGATGCGCCATGTAGATATCTACGAGTGACACTTTTATATTTGTGAGAAGGTGAAGTTTGTATTGCTAGTTAAGGTCAGGAATTTTTATTAGTTTTTTTCAAACTCTTAAAGAAGGTAGCTAAATGGTTAGGGAAATTTACTGATATTCAATTTGCATGAGAATCCATTAACTACATTTTCTAATCACAGAGGAAAAGGTGATCTTTGTCTTAACAAGAACACTGAATTTCTAGAAAGATGTTGAACAATTAAAGATAGTCCAGGAGGTGTCAGGAGTTTTTAAAACATAACAAGAAAAAAAATTTACAATGTGTCTAACCAGCAAGAGGAATACGAGAAAAAACAAAGTACATAGAGGAGGGAGAAAAAAAGAGAAGGGGCAAGGGGAAGAGTTAAGATAAACTCCACAAAATTGGAGTTAAGTCAGAAGTGTGATTTACTAATCTGATTTTGCCAAAGCAGTTTAGAAAAATACACTATGATTGTATTGCCTATATAAATTCCCTTACTGGACCTTAGAGAAAATCTAAAATGGAGGAAGACAGTTCATTTTATACCCAAAGTAGCACAATTGCATTAAGAAAAAGGAGAAGCTTGTTTTCCCACCTGTATGATGGCACCTGACGGATTTATCCACAAACATATTTAAGATCTCTTATGATGATTTTGGTGGAAGAAATGCTTTTTTATTCTTAAAGAAGCATAACTCATTCTGTCTAAATTCCTCATGACTCCTTAACTTCACAAGCCTTCCCCACAACATTCCCTCCTTCATCTGGCATTGGCATGGAATACTGAGATAATTCAACAGAGCTCCTCTCTCATGTGACAAATCTGCCTGAAGTCCAGTATGAGAGACCATTTCAATGCTGGCGGTGGGGGGTGTGGGGAGAGATTGACAGACAGCTTTAGGGTTGAGACACTAGCAAAGCATTCATACATTCAAAAATGAGAGGTGCCCAACTTACTCAGTTCCTAGGGTTGAACCTCTAGGGGCAGGGAAAGATGGCTTGGAGGAAATTTCTACCTTTGAGGAATCAGAGATAGCCTAGACTTAAAATATGATGTGCTAGATTTTGTCTCATAAGAATTTATTTAAACTGACCATCAGATCTGGTGTGAGGAAGGTATACATCTCTAGCTCAGACTGACAGGGAACACCAGAAGTTTCTATTTTCCTTTAGAAAGTCATCTACCAAAACTCCTGCTCCATCATTTTAAGCTGAGAAATTGCAGAGCTACTGCTTCAACCTGTAAGCTTACTCACTTGGTGAATACTATATATATAAACTTACAAGTATTTTCTGCTAGTAATGTACATAGATGAACACTTAATAACCTCCCTAAACTATCACTTAAATTCATTCCTATCCACAGTGCATACAAAGTCTCACTGGCAGTATCATAAAGATGCTTCTCAAATTAGGATCAACTCCCTAAACAAACATTTCCATTTATTTCTAAAATTATTAGCTTTCAGAAAGGAAAGAAGAAATACATCCTGCGTAGGCAAGAAGTGTGTGTGTTCAAATGAGAGTACCACAAGACTGCAGTGTTCTCTGTCATAAATTTTCTGCTGAGAAAGATAAAATTGATAAATAACTTGTGGTTCTCTAATTTGTTCTTCTCTCTAAGGATAGTAAATGCTAGTTTAGAACTTATTCTCTATGTTACACTTACATCTGGAAAAACGCTGATGAATTGCCCATGATTTCTTAGACGTTTTCTGAGCAATTTCACTCTACTTGTAAACTACCGAACCTTCTAAGAGGTAACAGACAGGCTTTCATCTCCAGCACTATTAAGTGAAGTGAAGTGAAGTGAAGTGAAGCCAGATTGTTCTGGCAGGAGGCTTTGTAACAGAGAACTACTTTCAGATAGAATCCACTTTTTCGATGCATATTTCCACTGTACACTAACATTTCTATGGAGAACAGAGGCAGACAGTCTTGAACGGTGCAGAATGAGAATGGAAAAAAATTAAAGGACTGCAGTATGCAGTCATACCAATAAAAGACATCATCTTGATAGCATCATTTTGGATTTTCATGAGTTGGCTGGCTCAGAGTCAATCAACACAGCCATTGCATTTTAATGCTTTTTAATAAAAAGATGTCTGCATGAAATATACCAAATTCCACACACGACCCCCTTGAGAACGATGGTGCTAGCAAAGCACTACACACATTGCCTTCTTGAACACTCCTTTCATCCACCATTGTTCAACAATTTAACCACTGGCAACAGTTCTGTTCTATTAAAAAAAAAAAAAAGTTCATGTAACTGAATCTCCTTGCAAAGGATCCATCTGACAAAAATTGTGAGAGTAATCCAGTCTTTACTAGACATTAATACACCATTATTAAGACACGGCTTTCTGTTTCTCAGTTTTTCAGGCTTTTAGTGATTTGGGGGGCATCTTGGTGCTCAACAACTTCAAAACATCATTTCTACTCTACAGCACCTCCAAAAATGCATCAGCTTCAGCAGTCATGATGATGGGATGTGACCTTTTCCAGCTGTCTCTGCACCTTTCAGTGCAGATTTGTGCAATTTGCAGCCTATCTCCCTAGAAACCCATCCTCTCCATTTTTCAAAAATGAAGACAAACTTTCTCCCTGGCCAATGAAAACTGACAATGAAATCAAGAGCAGGGCAAATAATTTTATCAGCAGAAAGCAAAGATAGGTGTTTCCCCACCCACACTGTACACAGAGTTCTGCCAGTTATGGCAAGGCGTACAAACAGCTCTGTCCCCACCCACATATTCATTGCTAGCACTCATTCCTCTGGACAAAATTGTATGCTTTCAGCTTCCTAGTGCCTCTGCTTCTACAGAAAAGTGGGAAGGCCCAAAGTCAGAAACAAATTCAGGGAAGATGCCCATTTTCCTCCTATTGAACTCTTTGGAATATCTTCTGAAAAGGCATTTTGTTCATAGGAACTAGACAGTCTTTATTTGCTTGAAAAGACTGTGGTTTCTTAATCATTTAACCTTAGTCATTGGAAAAATGAATTAAAAAAACGCCAGTTCATTCACTGTCCTTAAAAAAATTAAATAATACTCTTCACTCCTTCAAGGGTATGTCAATAGTTTATTGCACAGTGCTGCACTGATGACCCCAAAAGGCCAGGTAAGTCATTTGGGTATCTTGCAAAAACAGTAGGTTGAATCTAAATCCAAGCGCACCTCATTGCAAAGTATGCTCAATAAGCATCAGTGCAGCTATCTCTGCCTTATGGTCTACTGGACAATGAAACCATACCCTTAATGCTTAGGGAACTGACCTTTTTTATACTGTTTTCAACAATCCTATCCCACCAAAGCGTTATAAAATGCACTGAACTTATGTGGTATAGTAGTGTTGTATTGTATTCATTTGGTTGTGTTTTTTAGAAGCTGCCATGGAATGTACAATTAGAATAGCACATATACATATACTTGGAATTGCAGAAGCTGTCACAGCAACTGAACAGATGTAACAGCAAGCCACAGTGCAAAACCAGTTTTTACTAACTGTATCACACAGTAATAGTAAAAACAAGAGAAGTCCTCCTGGCACACCATCACCAGAGTTTCACCACTCCCCATGCACATGACAGAAAGGCACAGTAATATACTGCTCAGAAATACCATTAAATTGCAATATTTTATGATCCAACTCTGCAGTCCACAGCGCCATAGGCAGTCTCACTCATTTCAGAGACACTCTTCACGCATGTACAAAACCGTTCACTCAAGTAAGGGTTTCAGGGCTGGGTCACTCCAGCAGCCAGCCACATCACTGACAGTACTTTACTGCTGTCACTGTTCAAGCACTACCTATTTTCTGCCAGGGATTTACCCTGCTGGCCAGCCACAGTACAAATGTAATGGTGCACACCCAGGCCATATTCTGGAGAGAGTTAAATAAATCCCTTGATGAGGTGACTACGGGAGCAGGAAAACCAGCTGCAAATTGAAGAACACAGCACGCCAGGGTTCCAGTCCTGTGCTGTACAGAAACAAGACAGACTGCATCCCATGGCCGTGGCACCCCAGAACATAACACCACCTCAAATGGTCCTATTTATACCAGCACAAAGTCAGACGGCAGGTACTAGACAATATGAGGCATACAGAACTGGCATTCAAATTGAAAAAACTTATGAGCATACAGTTAAATAATCCCCAGCAGTCATATATCCTCAAGGGTGGTAAGGCAGGTAATCTTCTGGATTTTAAAGAACTGCAGAATCAAATTAATAAGTTTTGTTAAAAAAAATTTTATCCCCTGTTCATGACAAAACCAAAAGAATTAAATAGAATGAGTTAAGATATTTACCTGTTATGAATAGGTCCTCTGAACTTTGGGTCAAATTTCCTTGGTTCACCTGCATTTAAAATAAAACAGTATAAAAATATGTCCTTATCTAAAATAAAAGCTATAGAGAAGGGGGTGTTAACAGCAGTTCTTGAAGAATATCTTCCATATATTCCTATTTAACCAGTTAAAATCATTTCATGCAGGCAATATCAGTAATTCACTAATACAATTACCTAGTTCTTGTAGATGAGATCAAAGCTTTTTTCTTCTAGCTTAAAAACATTGAGGGCCTCACATCTACCACATGATAAATTACCTTTAATGTACATCTTATCACTACACCTGTGCACAGTGTTCACAGTAGAAAGTATGAGAGAGAAGGATTATGTCTCGTAGTCACACGCTCAGTGTGTTCAGCAGCAAGTGAACCTCTGGAGCTACACTCTAAGTCCCATTGATTTTTCTCTAAAAGAACAGTTTGGAGTTATGCCTCTACTTAATGTTATACTTAAAGTCTTTCAGAGTTATTCTTACTTCCCACTGCTTTTGTTACAGGACTTTATAGACACAGAGTTGCAGGTTTGCCCTTTTTGCCTTGGGCTTATCAGATGACAAAGCATGGCTGGAGACTGCAGAAATTCAGTGCTGACCTTGCTCTACGTTACTCTGCACAGGTAGTGTGACTGCACTAGCTTCTCCAAAGCTGATGACGAGGTACAGCACCACAAAGCAGCCAGAAGAGCATGTGTCTCAAATATCTTCTCTAACTCTTAAGAGGATGCAGTGTAGGAAGCAGAGCAGGTTTTAAAGTTAAAGTTGGTTATGCATACATCCCTGAACATGGTTGCTGCTTTGTATGAATCTCAGAACGACTAGAAGGTCAAGTCAGATCCCTCCTAGAAACAGGCAGTAATATCTGGCCAGAGTTTACAAATGGAAGGAGTCACAGATGATAACATTTTTTTCACATGGCTATCCTGGTTAGCATAGTTCCAATTGATTCACTCTACACATAAGCAAACTATACTAAGAAACTGCCAAATACTAACTCACCAATCTGTGCTTCAGATGTGTATGGAAGAATTTAAATTTTCAAGTTTCAAGCTACTGTATGAAAAGAAAGAAGCCAGCCTTCATGCAGCAGACCAGGATTTGGATTTTTCCTTTTGAAGATAGTTATTCAGCTTGATGCAATTTTTTTAAGTTCAGTAATTATGGAGATTTATTGAACCAAACTTTGGGCAACGGAAAATTACTTCTTCTTTTAAACGTCAACACTACAATACAAATTACTGTTTCCAAGTGCTTTCTCACTGCCTTCTTAAGGATCCCCTCTTCTGAATCTACCTGGTATTAAAGGGTGTTACCAGCCTAAGCTTTCCCCCATCCACAGAAAAAATACTTATTTTCTTCAATTAGACAAGAATTCAGCAACTTCTCAAAAGCAGAATTTACTTATTAACTAAATGCCAGGCTTTGTTCTTGGTTTGTATCAGAAAAACCTTATCAAAATACACACAGACCAGTACAATAAACACAGCAGATAATAAAATTCTATTTGCCCTTCATCTGAGGCATTCAGGTCCACCCTACCAAGCTCCTAAGACAAATACATTTTAACACAGAAGAGACTGGGAAAGCTAAAACTTCGGAGGAGTGACGTGTGACAGCAGTGCTGGGGAGTGGAAGATGTAGGTTATGCTGTTACACAGGTACTAAGGGAACCTCCCATGGTCCAGAAAGCAAGTGTACCATAAAAATACCTAATGTTGGGCCAAAACCTGTATTTTGAAGAACTTTTTTGTACAGCAATTACTACAAAATAAGTATTTCTACAGAATAATTTATCTCCAGAACAATTCAGAGTCTGTAACATTACTCCCTATTGACAAGTTCTACCCGTAAGGCATACTGAAGTGAGCCTTTGTTTATTGCTTGTACAGGAGCCGAGTTCAGCATGGGTCACAGATGGCAATACACAGATACAGATACAGCCACACCAGATCACAAGAAAGACCCATTGAACCCATACCCTGTGTCTAGCAAGGGGCCATAGTGAATACCTGAGGAGAAATGCAAAACCAAGGCAAACATAGTGGTATTTCCCTAAAATTGAGATTACAGAGATTTGCAATCTGAACCAAAGGCAGTGACTTTGTATTTAATAGTTGTGGGTGAATTTCTTTCTCATTCATTTAATAAATCTCTATTTAACTTGCATGCACTTTAACAATCTGCAGTGCCCTACATCATGGGGCATTTCATCAGGTTAAGGAAACATTGAGGTACTACCTCCTTTTGTCTGTTTTAAGTTTGCCATCAGTCAGCTCATACCTATACGGCAGCAAGGCATGGCACTAACAATTTTACAGGTTATTATATTCCACTTTACTCATTTATCTTCAAGAGTCCCAGTCTCTTCAATTGTTTCTTGTACCTAAGCCATTCCATACTTTCAGTCATGCTTATATTCCTTTTCTGTACCTTTTTCAGCACTACTGTATATCACTGGAAAAGGAAGGGCCAAAACTGCACAGGTTATTCACCACAAATATTGGGTGCAATTTATACAATCATATAATGAGCTTTTCTATTTAATTTCAGTCCATTCCTAATAATTCTTTCTTACAGTCTACTTACTTTTGAGGGCAAACACTTTCACTGAATCCTCCATTAAGACCCCAAGTTCTCACTCCTGAATGTTAGTAGTTAGCTCAATCCCACTACTGGAGCAACCCATTCTCAGAAGCTATTCAATATTTTCCTTAGCGATTTGAACAATGAAGTAGAACGAACACTTTGAAACTGTGCAGGCGACAAGTGTTAAAATACTTCTGGAGACAAAATCAGATTTTGATAAACAATTTAACAATTCAAAGTGGTTTTCATAAACTGACAAAAGTTATTTAGACAAACTACATTCACAAATCCATACAGAATAATTGCTTTCAACAAAACTGATGAGAAGAACACTAAAGGATTACGGCAAGAACACTAAAGGATTACGGCAGACTACAAACAGCGTATGACTCTGCAAAGTGATGTCTTTCCAAAAAAAAGCACAACTCATTCAAGAAGTGTGAGCATGACTGGTGAAGTCACTGTTCCTTGTGCTTGGGATATGTAAGGCCTCCGTGAAAAACTATTTCTAGATCATGGCATTAGAACTTCAGAAGATACAAACTGGAGAGAGTAGAAGGACTGATTAAAGACACTAAGAGGTTTACAAAAGCAGTAAATTAATGGAAACTTCAGTGACTGTGATTAAGGGAAGGAGCACAAAACAACAGCCTTCAAATACCATATAAAAATGACAGTGACCAGTTGTTCTCAGCTTCCTCTATCAGAGTAGCTAACTTCATTTACAGCACCGATGGTTTAGATTAGGCATCAGGAAACCTTTCAGAACACATGGGCTATTATACACTGGAACAGGTTTTCCAAGCATACTTCTGAATTGTCCTCACCCTAAGCTTTTAAGAATGGATTAGACAAATACCTGTTTGGAATAGAATAGTAAGTGCACCATGTCTCAGCACAGAAATAGCCAAATGGATCTCTTGAAGTCCATCTAGCCCCACATTGCTGTAACTGACTGGTTACAGCCAGTTAAGACCTAGCATGCCCCAGATGTATTTTAACGTGCTTGTTTGCTTTTATATTTTCTCACACATCATGTATGTATTGTTTACCTTCCAGACAGAAAGGAGTGATTTCTGATCTGCTTGGTACGGCAACAATCTAGATTTTCAAAAACAGAATAGACTTTCAGCAGGGAAGCCACACACTTATGTTTTGCTTATAGATGTTTCTCCAGTCAGTCTGTGTTGTCCTGAGAAAGCTTGTTGGCAGGGGCACACTCTTGAGCTTCCAGAATGTCTCCATTAAGCAGAATGGTTTTATAATGTAATTAGCTGGGGAAGATGTAATGTGTTTCTACAAGTGTCCTCCTTTCCATAATAAGGTCATTATTAATAAAGTGTCCACCATTGTAAATAGCTCAACTTTTGTTATTTATGCCATACCTGTGTGCTTCTGAAATGGAACAAAGAGAATGCATGTCAAAAGATACATGCATCTGTGGAGCATATTCAGGTGTAGTAGGTGAACTCCCCAATACTGCTACAATGAAAACTAGTATCCTAAAAAACTAATGGATAGGCAAGAAAATAAAAATAGACAAAGCAAGCTCTGATTCAAATGGAGACTTTCATCTCCATCAGGCAAGCAGAGGGATGCTGTGAGATAATAACAGTCATTAACAGCAGTGAAATTATTGCAGTGCTTCTTCCAGGAACTGTTCCTCACTGCCAGCAGTCAGTATGCTTATCATGGCACGGTGCAGTGCAACACTACTCAAACTGTCTTCCTCCGTCACTTAGCTCTTGATATAATCCATTACAGAACATGGCAGTTTTCATAGAAAAAGGCAATGATATTCTAAGTTAAAAATACACCAAAATTGACTGACAGAAGTAGTCTGTAGCATCACTGGAATATTCCTTAACAAAACATGTGACACAGCAACTGTGATCGTAGTTTCATGGAACAACAGAAAAAAGAAAAATGCTGTTTGCGTCATTCTCGTTTTTCCAAATTAGATATCAAATTCCCTAATTAATTACTACCATTCTTTAAAAACTGAGAAGATTCTTTGGGGGTGAGGTGAGAATTATTTATGTTATTAGTATTTACGTAGCTCCCGGTAAAAACAAACTAATTCCTTAGCTATAAAAGCCCAAACATATTTAGAAAGCAAATTCCAAGCATTAGGAGTTTGGTAGGCAAAAAGAAAAAAGCAGTGGTGTGGGATAACAACTGTCATTTTTTTACTAGGATTAAAAACTGAGGTGATATTCACTTTTTGCAGATGAGACAGATCTATTTCACAGGCTGCTTTATAATATGAAACTTTTGTACATTGAATTATAATATCATTACAAGATATATTTCACAAGATATTTCATTTACCAATTCTGATTCCAAACAGCATATGAATTTAATTCTGCACTTCGTTAATGTAATAATTTTTTTTAAAAAAATCTAAATTACTTAATTAAAATAAAA